GTTTGTATCATAGAATTTATCTGAATCATCATATCTTTGGCTGCTTGGAAATGGGCAATACCTATCTTCTATTGTACTACAGCAATCACTACACATCCATAGACCGTTTTTGCTTGTAAATTTCGCGGATCTGAAGCACTTAGTATGAACAACTTTGCTGCAATTTTCACATTCTAAGAGTGGCTGGCCAATATTAATGTATTTACTACAGGGGTCGCACACATCTTTAATAAGTTTCATAATCATGATAAACTAAGTGGGATAAACTCCCACTGGTCGGGTGGCCTTCCTTTGTCTTACTCTCTCCTGTCTCTCCCTCACATACACCCACTGTTTCAGACATCTCACAAATTTAGCAATACCAAGCTCTCCGAGATGGATTTCATCACCATTTCTCGTGAGTTTCATAGCAAGCAACCCTTTACCGTCTAAAAAGTGGCCAACACCAAGGTGCCATACATTCTGGTTAAAGCTAGAGTACAACATTTCATCAACCAAGCTGTTGAATGCCATAATGTTTTTATTCATCTTAGGGAGTCTAGACGGTAAAACTGCTGTGACAAACAACTTCGCCTTAGGGCACAGTTTCTGGATCTGCTGGATTTTCAGGTGGAGAATGTCTACCAGCTGGTGTATATCACCAGGTGACTGCACATTTTCAACTCGTAGATCGTTGGTCCCACAAACTAAGATGACGTTGCTATAACCAATGCAGAGCTTAGGGTCTATTGCACTGACCTTGTTGGCTTTAACACGTTCACCTGGGAAGGACTGTCCAAGGGTTCCAGTACCGACACCGAACTTGATGGGCTTGGTGTTAGAGTCGCCCATGATGATGCAGCTCCGGCTGAACTGTTTGCTCACAGTTCTCAGTGTGATGGAGAACCTTCCTGTCTGCACAGAAGACTGAGTTTCAGCAGGACCTGTTTCATCAATACCGTGACGATACCAGGCTTGTGACGATCGTGTCATCACATACACTGAGTTAGATTCTGGACTCACACTATGAACATACTCAGTTGAGGCTTCGTTTCCGGTCTCATGGATGCACTTAAAGCACACCTTCCTGACGTCGCCTATGCTGATAGTAGCAATTTCTGAGTTAGCAATAATCTCAGACTCATCGTCAGAGTGAAAAGGGAGCTTGCTACTAGTGGTGGTATCAACTGAGGGAGGGTAGTAGTTTATTAGGATGGAGTTGGGCTTATGGGTCAGTCTGCACTTTGATGTAACTGCGTCTATGGTTGAGGCAAGGGGTGCTGGGATTGTGGGGGATAGGGGTGGGTCTGAATCACCAGTATAAGAGTAGTCTTCCCCAAACTTGAGGACCTGTCTTCCATTCTTCGGGATGAACTTATTACTAGCTTGGCTCTCCAGGAGAAACTCTGTAACTTCTTTGAGGATCTCAGCACTTAGCACATCGACCAGGTAATCACACACTGGAGGTTCTGTGCATTTAGGGAGGGGGATTTCTGTAGCAGGTGGTGCTTCAGATGGACTTCTGGACTGCTGAAATTCATGAATCTCTTGACTCAGCTTCTTCAGTCTTGTCTCCAGGGATACAATCTCCACAGTAGGCATACTGTTACCAACAGCATTAGAAATAGCATCTGATATAGCCTGTATGTTCTGGCTGTAGTCTACAGAGCTCTTTAGGTTGTTGTCCATCTTGGCTGACATGCTGGAGCCTGGTCTGGGGAATGATGTATCGAAACACCATGGACATAGCCATTCTGAGAGAATAATATTCAGAGAAGCTTCAAGAGGTGTATCGTGCTGAATGTTGTTAGCACCCTTGAGATTGCAACAGGAAGCATGCCAGTGCTGAAAACATCTGGTACACTTGAACTTCCATTCCTTACCATCTGATGTTGATCGGCAAGGACAATCACTCTTTGAAGCCCGTTGCTTTACTGTAGGTTTATCCTGGATTTCAAGTTCTTCAGCAGACTCTTCAGCACGGGAGAATGGAGGAAAGGACTTGTACAGAGGGCTCATTGGACTGCTGGGGCTCTCTCTGAGGTTCGATGATTCTAAAGCTGATATCAGGTTTGGGCTGATCTTTTCAATAACCAGATTACCTGGAGGTTTAAGAACAGATGTCTCTGGTTGTTCTTGGGGTGACTTTGATGGGCGTTTACCCAGCACAGCTTTTTGGGCCATTGCGCTAGGGCTGTTCCTGCGCAGGGCTTTGTTGTCTGCTAGAGGTTTCTTCTTTTGGGAGGTAGCTCCTCTGCCGGATGGTGACGTGCTAGCTCTGGATCCTGGGTTGGTAGGAGGAGGAGTGTGTCTAGGGGAACGCCTTTGGGTACTAGCACTTGAGGTAGTAGCCATGATGATATGATATCAGAGATATGTCCGGAGTCCAGGGGGCCAGCTTGGACAGACCCCTGCACCTGAAAGGAGAAGAGCATCAGCCGGTTCATTGTGAGTGATATGAGGTGGGTTAAGTGGGAATATGATTGAATAGAATTTTTTCAAGAACTTTCAAAAGAGTGATTGAAGTATTCAAAAATATATAAATCATTCAAAGGTCAGACACACTAACAACAACAGGACAAACTGGGTTTGGATGGGGTGATTTGGTTTGAAATTGTTAAGTGTGTAGGTAAAATTGTTTGAGCAGAATTTTCAGAGTAAAAATAAATAAACAAAAAATTTGTTGAGACAGGTATTCAGAGAATGCCTATCTTGGAATACTTCAACACTACTATATATTTTTTTGGACTAGCAATGGTTTTTTATTAGGTGTAGTGACTAGTGGTATGTGAACACATGACGAACCGAACTGACAACTCAACTCATTTTCTAGGAGCAGTAATCCATCCTCCCTGAGCCCCAACGATTAAATAAACCTTTTAAAACGATTACCTTAACAAAAATAAAACATTCACATACTGCATACAAAAACATTGTAAATGTAAAAAGTAACGAAATTTAAAAAAAAACTTTAGATAGTATATTTTGATTAAAAACCAAAAAATGGTTTTGAAGCATCTTTTATTACTAAAACATTAAACTGGCGAAGAAAGTAACTTCCAGGATAAATAGCAAAGCAGTTTTACTGAACGGGGCTGTCCACTTAACTGTCATTCCACTATATCTTCAATTGTGAACACAAAAGTCTGAGGTCCCCCAGGCCGGAAGGAATTCATTGTTTAACTCACCGGACAGCGAAACAATAATTCCTGCACAAGGGTGTATTGTAATGTATTTATCATCAACGACATCACAATCTCGTAAACATATTTTAGCCTCCTCGCTTAAATTCTGGTACTCAGCTTGTAAGAAGAAAGCGACGACCTCATCGTTTCTCGACCCATTCATATCTCGATTCTGGGTGCTCAACTCGGATGAAAGATGTTATTTTTGATGCTGTGTGATTTTATTGGGTTAGACTAGTGTTAAAGATGTTTTGATCACTTCGGTTTATCATGTAGGTGTACTAAAATGCTCACTGTAGCCTATAATATTTAGATTTTCATCATCAATGTAGGTGTACATCTCAGAACTTGCAGTTTCTCCTTGGTTGAATATGAGAATTTTACCACGAGGATTCAGAAACTTCACTGCTCGAGAAATCGCCCCAAATGAATGAGGACTCCCATATTTCTCATTGAACTCAAACTCTTTGTTATAGAGTGGTGTGTCAATGTCGTACTGGCCATCAAGACTATTCCGTTCAATCTCCAACAGGAACATGGATGGTATTCGGCTCGATAGCATGAGCCTTGTCTCAAATTGTCCTCTTCCTGCACCAATGCTTAACATTCGTACCGGCTCCTTGTCGAAGTTGTTCTCTAGAATGACCTTCTTGGAGATACTAACCATAAGATCATATTCAGCTATACTACCAGCCTGGCAAATGTTCTCGCATATCCCTCAATAGTGAGGAGAGCAGCAGTTTCTCTACCAGTCATTGTTGGAACTGTAAGTTGTTTTGTTAGATGGTGAATAAGGATACATTCAAAAATACATCAATTCAGTTTAATTTATAATTTCACCTGCCAGGGACCCTTTTAGAAAAATCTTGAAGTTCCAGTGTAGAGTGATTTAGTACCAACGGATTAGCAAGGTTGTGGAAAAATCGTAAAATTCTGAACCAAATCTTCTTAATGATTTTTAGACTCAATTTTTAATACACGTGCACTTGAATACCGCTGGCGCAATGCAATTACTCATAAGTTTTGAGTGCTGACCTTTGACCAGCGATAAATTCGGCTATTTTTCAATGGGATTTAAAGCAGCTGATAGATATTACTGTCAGATACTCAGATATTAGAAACAACTAAAAAGTTTTCATGAAACATTTAAAATATAGCACTGTCGATACTCAAAGCCTTGTGTAACGTCATGATTAATCAATAATCATTAATCATAAGCAGCTTTTGGTAGTCCATTAAAATGGTTCATCAGAGGCTATGATTCTAGAATGATTCTATGTAAAGAATACAATATATAAATCACTGATGAATAACACTTCAAGTTTTGGCATATGATGAAGAGATTACTGGTCAAAATAACTGACTATAAACTTCTTTGAAGATAGATACTTTTTGGCCAACAAGTTTTTTGCTTAATGATGACTAAGTTGAACGTGAAACTAGGATTTAACAGTAGACAGTGTTGTTTGTACCTTGTCTTTGAAAGCCTATAACAGGCCCGGCCTTATGTTATGATCTTTAATTATCAAAAATACAACTATTCTATATAAGCACATAGATTGATATATTCACATATGTCACACATTTGAACTGTTACACGTTAATACCATAGCTGTATAATTTATTTAACCTGACTTCCAACTCACCCTCTTTTTTCCCGACTCTAGTCAACTAGCCATGACACTAAGTCTTGTTTTTAGAGATTTTATACTGTGATCAAATAAAAAGGGGCTACTACATCTCTTACATTTTCTCTTCCATACTCCATGTTATTTCACTGGTTTGTTTCGATGTACATTTTTTAAAACCTTCTGTGAATTTAGCAAGAAAATAACCAAATTATTCCAGGTAAACACTTATATGGGAAAAGGTAATATTGATGATTTAGCTACAAAGTTTTGTGTGGGATCAAACGCTCAAGCTAACCAAACATACAGACATGTCGACTACAAAGAATTGCGTCTTAAGTTACAGCAGGAAAAACTGAAACTTCACCTCGACAGACAGCATCTGAAAAAGTTCAACAGTGTTAAAACACGATATGGTACCACATCCGCCTTTAATCAGCACAAGGAGGTTTGGTTGAAAGAAGATATTTCCATCAAGTCTCAGATAAGATCTATTTCAGCAGTTATCAGCGAACAGGCTGATCCCAGTCAGCTTTTGTGTGAAAACGAAATTTGCGAGTTTTTGAATAGCATGCAAGAAGAATTTAAAGCATTTGAAGTAGGAACGATTCAGCCAGTTTGGGAATTTATAGAGGATATGCAACAGTGGCTTCTCAAACCAGACACTAGCAATGCCAATGACATTAAACCAATTTACGAAACCATGACTTCTCAACAAAATCATATTTTGGATGTCCTGAATGACCAGGGTCAATCTTTGGACAATGATCTCAGTGTATTTAATTCAGTTCTAAAAGCGTGGGAGTTTGAGGCAGAGAGTGTAACTGAATCTCTACTCAGACTAAAGTTCCCTCATGAAGAAACGATATGTGAATACATTGAAGAGTACTTGTCTGTGGATAAGAAGTACAATGATGTATTGATGGAGTTGAGGGATTACTACAGCATTATGCTGGATAAAGGGAAGCACGGTGGTTGGTGTAACGAGGACCACATCCTCTTCAGACATATCACTCAACAGTACCCTGTGGATAAGTTTCAGAGAAGTACACTGTGTCTGGAAATGCTAAAACTGGTCATGTGCCATAAAACGGAGCTCGAGTTGAAGGAGCATGGCGAGTGGGTACAGTTGTATGACATGTATTGGGAACACAGGAAATCCATCAAGCACATGCACCAAAGTGCTTTGCAGAAGCTGGTAGCGACCGCAGAGGCAGATTGCAAACAGCAATGGGTCCAGGTTAGGGAAATGCGACAGAAAGCTGATGAAATTCTGTCGCAGAAAGAGAACACAGCACGAATATTCGAGAATTTACTGAGGTGTCGAGCTGATAAGTTGAAGAAGATTCGAGCAGAGGAGAAAGAATTATCAGGGTATCAGGAACGCATGAACAAGGAGAGAGCAGAGTTTGAACGAAGACGAGCAAAACAAAGAAAAGCGGACAAAGATAAGATCCAGGTTTTCAACGAAATGAAGGAAGACAAACAGAAAGAGTTCGAGAGAAGGCTGGAGCAGCTCAAGGATAAGCAAGCCGCTATGAAAAAGAACAAGCTAGCAGCTGGGAAAAAGCGTGTTGATCACCGTCACGAGCTTCACGACAAGAAACTAGAAGAACAAGCAGCTGCAGAGGCCCAGCAACATGAGGAGGAACAGCGCAGAAAGGAGCAGTTAGATAAACTAGCTGCTACAGTCGCTGTGGAGGCTCCTTATGATCCTGCTAGAGTGCACCGGGACACTAAAGCAACCACGGCTAGGTTGAAGGAATCAGATTATATCGGCAAGTTTCAGCTGTTCAAAGTTGTGGGATATGAAGATAGTGCTATATCGGGTGATATGAGGTGGAAGGTAGAGAAGGCTTTACGTAATGCTGGTTTAATGACTACTGATTATGGCAGACAAATCATGAAAAATATTGCACCTCCTGTTGAACCCCGTAAAGACATGATTTCTACTGTTTTTAAGAAAGATAATGAAACATAGTTGATAATGTTAAACATTTGTTTTTGGGGTTGCCCAGCAATGGGATTTGGTTAAGGTATAGATCTAATTTAATTTTCTGAAACTCTATATACCGGTTGAGATTAATCGCGTTTGTACTGCTGTGATCCTCAGGCCAGTTTGGTTTCATTCAGCCATTCAGTGGACCATCACCTTGCCCTTGGCCTAATTTTCTTTGGTTCAGTTCAAAGCGACTGTTTTTTTTTAATAGAATTATTTAAATAAATTGAAAAAACTGTTACAATCCTGCCAAAAACTGTATTGGCTACTGATCCTCAATTATTATCCCAATTTTGTCTCTGTTCCTGTTGTTACTTGTCTAACAATTTACTAAACTTGATTTGTTCTAGAATATCACAGTTTGAAACGTATTCTTTTAAATAGTTTTGCGTGTTTCTGATCATGCGTGCGAATACATGCTTTCACGTCATTCGCTGATCTAATGGGAGATAAGATAAGCGATAACGTTTAATTGTGATAACTAATAATTGTAATATTCCGATGCTTAGCTGTGTCGTCCATACTAAAGAGCCTCAAGCACGAAGAATCGTGTTGAATTATCTGCTTGTTACATTTTATAGATAGAAATACAATAACTTGAGAGCTTACATTTTGTGTTTTGTAGAAATCTTGGTATTATCTAGATAGCTTTTCTCTCGATACATCCCCTGTCAAATTACTGCTTACGCTATAAACTTTAAATGATAATCTCGGTTTTCTCCTTCAATCAAATTAAAAACTAGCTTTGTTATAAGTTAGTTACTAGTTAACACAACACTTTTCCAACTAGCATATGGTGACGTAGCTGGTGTCCAGTTAACCATCCCCATGTGACCACACCAGGACAAACATTCGTCAACATGGGTCTGAGACAAGTTGGAGTTGTCTGCTACATATGCGGGCGAGAGTTTGGGACCCGCAGCATTGGCATTCATGAGCCTCAGTGCTTGAAGAAATGGGATATCCAAAACCAGAAGCTTCCAAAGAGCAAGAGACAAGCCAAACCGGTGAAGCCGGTAGAGTTCGATGAACCGTTCAGTGCTGACCCCACAGCTAGGGCAGCTCAGATTGAGAAGATTAACATGGCGTCTAATATTGCAGCTACTGAGAATTTGGTGCCATGCAGGAATTGTTCAAGAAAGTTCCTGCCCACTAGGATTGAATCTCACGAGAAAGTTTGCTGCAATCTGAAGATGGCACCAGCTGCGGCCTTGAAATCCAATTCGGGATATTATGGGCAACGAGTGCATGTTGTTGACGGTCAGCAAGTTGATGCTATCGCCATGAAAAAAGAGAAAACATTTTCAAGCAACACTATCGAGAAGAAGAAAACAGGTCAATTCAATACCAACATTCCCACGAAACCAGTGAACAACAATGCGACCAACGTTCTACAAAGCAGATCACATACCACAGCGAACCTGGACCTCTCCAGAGGACCCCTGCAAACTGTTCCCTGCCAGTTCTGCGGCAAAGCCATCAGTCACAATGCTATTAACATCCACATTAAAAAGTGCAGATCTCGGTCAGAACCTCTACCCCAAACTTCAGATTCTTCTGAGTGTACGTACTGCAATAAGAAATACCCCCTTAACGTCATCGCTGTTCACATCAGAAATTGCTCTGCAGCTCCTAAGAAGATTTTTGGTCCAAAGGGTCCCTCCGAGAAAGTTTCCCCAAAGAAGCAAAAACCTCAGTTAACCCCTCCACAAACTCCTCCTAAGAGGATCGAGCCACTGTCAGGCAATGTTAACAATGTTAAGGGTAATGCTAACAATGTTAAAGGTAACCCATACGCTCGCTACTCTCCCAGACCACCATCTGCAGACAGACTGAGTTCCAGCCTGGACACCAGCCTAGAAGTGGAAGTAGATCTGATACTGGGTGTGGATCCTGGTCTGGTTATGAACTGTATGGTATGCGGTCTGATCGTGCTGAAGAGCAAACTCAACACCCACTACCATAATTACTGCCAGAAAACCACCATGACTCGCTCCATCACCATACCACCCTCCACCACCACCAAGGTCCCAAAACCTCCCTACGCTCCAAAACAAGAACTTGTCGCCTGTGATATTTGTAACCGTAGCTTCAGAGCTGATGTAATTGAGGAGCATGAGATGCGGTGTGCTATCAAGAATCAAGATGAGCTAAATAAGTCGATCACTGTTCCAGATATAAGTCGGGCTCCGAATAACGATGCAGAGGGGGGTAACTCCTTCACTACCAACGGTTTGAGCTCACCAACTCAAGTCATCGGTAAATTCGTAACGGGGAAGTTTGTACCCTGTATTAACTGCAATAAATCGTTTACAGTCCGGTCTCTGGTTATTCATCAAAAACAGTGTATGAAATGAAATTTTGTAATTTTTAAAGTTGATAAAGTAAGAATGATGTACGTCAATAACAATAGAAATTACATGTGATGTGTCTTGTCGCCGCTTTCTCCTGCCTTTTCCTTGCTATGCAATCTACTCGAAACTTCCAAAATTAATTGTTGTAATTTTGGTTAAATTCAACTCTCTTATATTTTAAGTAGATGATTTCTATTGTAGCGAAAATATTTTTTGTGATGTATTATAACTTGTAAATATAAACCCATTCAACAAATTGAATAGTTATAAAAGTTGAATCTATTGTCACTCGCTTTCAACCAAATGTCAACTTCAAACTATTAACTAATATCCTGCTTGTTCATTTCATCTGAATCATTCTCCGTTAATAGTGTAAGTGGTCTCTGTAAATAGCGATTCAACTCCACACAAGGATTCATTATAAACTCTTGAAAGGTTATTTATTAGTGCATTATATACGGGAAGGATCAATCGGTCACAGTAAATAGTAGTAAAGTACGTAGCGCGCATCTCATTATTTGTGATAAAACTTTTCATTTTACGCAATGTGTGTAGCGGAATTGCGCTGCGCTCGATCATAGCTAAACTTGATTCATTTCAAAACAAGGCCGTTTTTAATACAACTCTATCAGATCGGAGTTTATAAAGGCTCGTATGAGACACTAATGACAATTTTGAGAGATTGGACGGACTTTTTGCAAACCAAAAATGGAAGCAACTCACGGTATCACTCTCAGAAGAGACATGTTTCATCATTTACCGGAATTGCAACCAAATATACACAATAAGGTTTGGTACTTTATCCGTACATCCCCTTTAATAGCTACAAAAAATTGTCTATAAAATTTACATAAACAAACTTAAGAGACCTCAAAGCTCGTCTTCTGAGGAATGAGATTGAAGGATACGTCAACCAGTCCAAGGTGCTGGGCTTTTTGTCTTCCTCTGATTCCCCTGAGTGCTATGAGTGTGCTTCGTAGCAGATCAAACCTGAATCGTGTTCTGATGTGATTTTTGACCTGGCTCTTAGCTTCTTTATTGTGGTCAGCTATCCTTTCAGAAATACGATCTACAAACACAGTGCAGAGTGGGCCCATACCTCCGGATGTTGTAAAAACTAGTGGGACAAAGGACCCTTTCTCTGACTGAAGTACTCTCTCCTCATATAGATCTTTCTTCTCTTTCTCATGCGCACTGTAGATTTTATCTAGTGGCTTAAATGTATTGGAGTCGCAATTAGGATGAGTGACCCTGATGTCAAAGAATGTTCTTTCGAATGGTGCATACAGTCCAACAGCTGCTACGTCCAGACGGGCTTCATCCTGGGTGTTGGTCTTCCTGGAGAATGAAGTTGGTTGGACAGGTAAGAGTGCAGGTTCTATCCTTACATCCTTATACTTTGCTTCTTGAAGGAAGAAAGCTGCAGTGTCTCTAATGGCATTGTGGCGCATGTAAACGTATCCACCTAATTTACAATCAAGGGAGTGGTAGACACTGTTTGCATGTCCGCAAGCACAATTAGAGGGCACTCCTTGGATCTTCCATCCATAGCGTAGGCGTATGCTGTCTTGGAACTCTTGCTTGTTTAGAACATAGTTGAGGTCCTTTAGAGGTAATGCTGAAAGCCATGTTGATGCTCCCTTCTCTCTTGCTTGGTTTAAGTGGTTCTTAAGAAGATGATCTGACCCATTATAAAGTATCTTGAACCTTTGTGATAGAAACTCATCTTTCTGTTTTCTCAGTTCTTCTTTCTTTTCTTTCATCTTGCCAATATCCAGCTTGGTGATATCCTGGTCTTGTTGGTTGATTAAACTCACAAGATCTTTAGTGAGTGCCACTGAGAATGCATATTCACGATTTCAAACCAAAAATTGAATAATTATATTGTCCCATTCTCTGTCCCATTTTCAGTTTTTGAAGCTGAAATTTCCAGGGCTGAAATTTTACAGTTTTGGCCGAATTACTGACCCGCAACCAATTAGTCAGTCAACTATAGATGCCAAATGACACGATTGAGGTGCTAGAAGTTTGATTTGGGTCGGAGGAAGCTCACAGCAGAAATCTTTACAAAACGAAAAGTTGTATTTTCAAAACTCTGTCCCATTTTCAGATATGAAAATTTCTGAACACACATTTGACAGATTGGATGAAATTTTTGCCCACAAACCAATTAGTCAGTTAATTGATGATGGTTTGGAACCAAATTGGGGTACTGGAAGTTAAAATCTCGAAAAAATTGGAAAATCATACTGTCCCATACTCTGTCCCATTTTCAGTTTTTGAAGCTGAAATTTCCAGGGCTGAAATTTTACAGTTTTGGCCGAATTTCTGACCCGCAACGAATTAGTCAGTCAACTATAGATGCCAAATGACACGATTGAGATGCTAGAAGTTTGATTTGGGTCGGAGGAAGCTCACAGCAGAAAACTTAACAAAACGAAAATTCATTTTCAAATATAAACATTTCTGAGCATGTCAGGTGTGAGTGACTTATGTCACTCACACCTGACACCAACTTCATTTTAAACATTTAGTCATTATCTAGCTACAGGCTATAAGTTTCCTTCTATTCTGATGATTTTCCGTTTGTAAGTATATTGGAGTCGGGATTGTAAGACCGAGTTGAGGAATGCTGGTAGTTATTTTACTTAACCGTTGCCCTCCGCGGAGAGGAATGGTTGGAGAGGGTCCTTATTTTGGAAATTCTTAGATGTTTACCTGAGGACCCCAGGCTATTATGTTCATTAACATAAAGATTTGGCGGAATGACAGGCTGAGCGCGGCCCAGTAACTTAGATGTTAGAGCATATAAGAGAAAATTTACTCCAGTTCATACTGATACAGAGATATATACTGCAACAACAAATGATGAAGATGAGAATGAAGGCAGGGAAGCCCTTGTATCACGTGGTGACCCCCACGGTGACCCCCACGGTCGCTACAGGGGGAGCCGCGCACTTCGTGCGCGGCGGGTCTTACAACGTATGACAAGGAAGCCCTATACTAGAGAGTAGAGGCTAAAAGTGGATACACGTTGGATATTGCAACCGATATTATCGGGCGGATCGGCGATAATTTGTGAAAAATTCATTATCAATTATCGGTTCACGGTTATAGGCGATAATTTTCAACCGATAAACCGATAATATTAATATCAAAATCTTTTCTTCAAAAATTATTTCCAAAAAGTTCGAAATACCGTAAAATCACCGGTCAAATTTAGCGTTATTGGACCTCTGGTCCAACGATGATGGCGATGCTTAATCAGCTTCTCAACGGATTCCGCTAGCAAAAGAGTTATTTTCACTGTTAACCAAGTCATGGACTCGTCCCCATCACGAAAGGACACGTAGACTAAAGAGATCGCTCTCTTCATGGCTACTCCTGGCAAGAAGAAGACTACTGCGATAAGCGAGCTGCATATCTACCATACCACCTACTTCCGTGGAGGCCGAGAGGACATTTAGCGCCAGTGGGCTTTTCCTCACAAAACTAAGATGTAGGCTCTCGGACAAGTTTTTAGAATTAGATATGTTGATATTCCTAAAATTCTATTTCGCCAATAAAACTTTTAAGTCAAGTTACTTGTTTTTCTTTAAACATCTGTAAATTGTAATTTGCACGCACTTTAATTGATATTATTTGATTGCTTTCTAAATAAATTTACGAAGCCGTTGTGGGATTTCAAATTACGTGTTTAGAACTCGAGTAACACTAACAGTAAGGGGTCGTTCACATCATTTTTTGGAACATTTTTACCCCCCCCCCCCCCCCCCCCATCCCCCTCCGTAATCAGTTTTACACATAGCTATTGTGTCAAAATTACACTAGCGTAATCATTCGGAAACCCCCCCCCCCCCCCCAGCTGATTACGTAATATGTGAACGACCCCTAACTCAGGAATCATCATTCACAAAGGTGATCAAGGTGTAATTGATTATATCAGTCATAAAAATTAACTAAAACCTAGCTCATTGTAAATGTAAATTGTTCTGGCCAAATTTTATCGCCGATAATTTCAAAATTGTTATCGGTTATCGGCGATAAAAATTATTATGTATTAGACCGATAATGCAAACCCTAGTTGGATACCTCTTCAGTCTTCACTCCTATCTAATCACAACGGCCGGCGCGCGCTAATTCGCTTAGATAAGAAGATGTAGACACAATGATGTTGAGTATATGATATAATCCTCAGATTTTCCGGAAATACACTATACTATGAGGAAGTGTCCCCACGGCCTCACAGGCAAACGTAAGTAATGATCATACCAGCACCCTACCAGAAACCGATTTTACACAAATTTCGGTCCCAAATACTACTTGGGTTGCGAGGATAGCATATCTGAAAATTTCCTACCGTTAGGGGGGGGGGGGGGGGGCACATAACTCATCAGGTGGACGGCAAATTTACTTTTCACCATCGCAAGGGTACACATAATATTAGACACGGTCATTTCGCCCAATTCTCGTGGTTATTTCTCGGCCGAGTGAAATAGTATGGGCCTCCTCTAGAGCGGTACAAGGTATCGTGAGAGAAAGAATGCAGCTGACTAATGATTGATGATCATTTGGGACAGTAATTGATAATTATCTTGTACTGTTTTAAAAGGCGGTAGAAATTGAATATCATGTACACGCGCTCATATGCGCGCAAGTTTCTATAAGGAAGCATGGCGTGTTTGCTAGTTTCAGTAGATGTCTTGGCAGAATGGATTCACTTAGAGACCGAATGATCGAATGGGTTGTGGGACCAATTACTAATTAGATTTCATTGCCAGAGGGAATAACCAACTTCATACATGTTTGTCACGTTCTTCCAGAAACCCCAGAAACTCCTCAATTATAATAGAAAGAAAATATTTATTTCCAATTTAAATAGTACAAAATAAAATGAGTCGTTTTAACACTTCATTTTAAAATAAATTCTGGGCAAATCCCCTTATAAGTGTAAACGGGTAGAAATTTCGGCAGTAACATTTTCGTTTAAAATATAGAAATTTTTTGAAGTATTAAACATTAAACGGTCAGTTTTCAAGCTTAAAACGGTCAAACTACCTTCCTCGTAAAGTTTAAACTAACATAATGATAATAAACGTGTCGTGCATTCTCCCGAAAACAAGCTGAACGGTATAAAATAGCATGAAATATAGATTTCCTCTGGTTGGAATCGAATTAATATCCTAAAATCCTAAAAGTACCAAACCTTAACCCCAAAAGTTGACAAACCCATCAAATCGAACCTCGAGTAAGCCACGAAAACCTAATAAAATTTATATAATGAAACTTCAACGTCAAATAACTTTTGAAATTGAATAAAACTTGTCTCATAATTAATCGGCAGCGTGTCATACAATAAAAGAAGTTAAACATCAAACTCATACCTTAATGAATATAATTAGAAAGTTATCGTACACATAGCTAAAATAAATACCTAAATTCTAAACTATTTGCACTGGTTGGTCTGTCATAACGTTGCGATGACGTCATATCGTTGCGATGACGTCATATCGTTACGATGACGTCATAACGTTATGATGACGTCGTATTGATGTCATGATGTCAAAACATGCAACGAATCATGATACAGTCGTTACAACACACACACACGGCAAACAACTGATAAAAGGTTAAGGGATACATCGCATATAACTTTATAAGTTCATAATCATTGGTAAAATAAAATATTGGTATGATATAATAGCTATAATATTTACATGACACGGAGCCCCTATAATGACGTAACCACGCCACACACGGTCACGTGTTCACATGAGTGAGCAGGCTCGCTGATCTCCTTCTTCCAAATACTCGGTGCTGGTCTCTGCTTTGGCTTTGTAGGTACTGACCACATCCCCGTCTGAGTTCTTCAGGACGATCTGCACGTCCATGGTGTTGGACCAGGCGTCTAGTTTTTTGAATACCAAGTTGAGTGGGGGGTTGTGCGTAGCTCCAGCCCCAGCGCTGTACACCTTGGTAAGGAAGGGTGGGGTTAGTTGGAGTGTAATAATGTGGCATTACATCAGACTATCAGTGGTCTAAGTTTCATCACGGTTATTGGTTGAATTAGGGCACTATCTTAGCGATAAAAGGTACATGGTTTACATGTGATGACAACAGAGAATACAATGACTGCTGAGTGTTGGGGGCGCTGCTGATTACTCCAGTCAGTCCAATCATACACGCAACAGTTAGCACACATCTTCTAGAACCGTTTAAACTCTAAATTTTTCCTGGTATAGCGGCAGAAACCCAACAAGTCATCCATGGAGAGTAATACAACGCGCGAAATTATGCAACATAGAGCTGTCACTGCATAGCAATACCGTACATTCGGCAATTACTAAACTTCCAAATACGGTTTCGTGAACTATTGAGGATCGCTAACGGACTAATAGTTACCTTGAGGGTTTGATCGGGGCCAATGACTGCTTTAGCGGGGAACTTATACTCCAGAGTCTCCTCAGCAGATACCTTGGAGATAGTCCACCCTTTCATTATCTGATCCTTCTCCGTCATGTTGCTTATAGCAACGTAGTCGTGTTCTATTGACACCTGGGTGTGGGCTGTTACTTTCATAATTTAGGGTTAAATTATAGACTTATAGACTGTGCTGAAGTCATCGCTATACTGAACGTGACACACGGATAACTATACATATTATGTAAGAAGCCAGCATGCTACAAAACGTAGTGGAATGTGTGTAACTTGTAAGTCTTGTAAAATGTAACAATATCGTCATGCAACAGTGATTAAAATTTCCGCGGCATAATGAATAAATCTCTTGTCCTGCTAATACTTCTATTTCAAGTGACTAGTGGGAGGTAACATTTCTTTGTTAGAAAAGAATTGTCCACATTTTCTAGAATTTGAGCGCATACCAATATCTCAATAGTACAGACCAGCGGCCCGACAACTGTTCCCCAGTTTAGACTCACCTCGTCTATAGAAACATGTGAGTTAGTCTCCGTTGTGAAGCTCTCCTCCATTACTCTCTGTCGTTTCCGGCTGGGAGCATCCGCATCGTTAAACGACAGAGCTGATCTGACACGGCCGGACTTGGGTGACGGCGTCAGGTTCAACCTCACCTGGGATAATTGGGGGTTAATTAGGAGTTAATTGGTTAATGACTGGCACGGTAATTCCGTTAATGGTCATTGTACAACACATCATATCTCTATTTTATGATGACGAGATGTCAGAGTTTAAAGTGTAAGTATAAACCCATTTTAACTAGATGCCATGCTGCTTAGGAGTTTAGTAATAAAATCTTCGGGTGGAACTATCAATCATTATTAATGAGATAATTACATCATAGCGGCCAAGTTACCACAATAAAATTGCAACCCCTGGAGTCTGGACTCCATGACGGAGTGGTGTGATACCACTATACTAATTAGTAATTACGGCGCGAAACTGTTTTATGGTTTGCCAAATATTTATTTACCGAGGAAACTGAGATTTGTATTAAATTAGCGGTTTCAAGTTTCAAATACCATGAAGGACTGTGCTCTGCAGTGCACATCCAATTAGGAGGGACCTAGCCAGGTGGCCCGGACTATAAATACCGAGTGCTCCATCCCTCTTACATCTTAACCAATTTTAAATGTAATTCTCTTAAAATTAGTGGGGTAAGTAGTACCAAACATCAACTGAGAAAAATCAATATTAAGTAAAAACCAACATACCTCTTCTGCTTGAAGGAGTTTTCTGTAAGCTGCAATTTCCATATCTAGAGTAACTTTGACATCCATGAGATCTGAATAATCTTTAAGGAGAGCTTTCATTGCTTTATCTAGCTTGTCTATGTCAGTCTGGGAACAACAGTGTTACATTTGATATCGCAGTAACATATTTAGTACAGTACGCATTGTATTCGAGTACAGATTATTGAGTGTATAACTTAGAGATATAACGACTGTTGCGGGAAATGTTCATTAACTGATAAGGGAAATGGTTAACGGTAATACTTAATGTGATGGGGTATAAGTATTTGGGCGGCTTAGTAGATGGACACGGAAGTAATTCTGTGCTAACTGGAGTTTTGAACAGACTGTATGAATAACAACACTTTTAATTTCCTAGATATTCAGTGTGAATTTAATTCCTTAATAAGGGCGTCAATTAGGAGCAATATACACACGAAGCTATGTGTTTAAAAGACTGAGTTAGATAAAGAAAAAAGAGATTAAGTAAGATAAAGAGGAAACTTACCTGATGTTTAGCGTCTTTTTCCCTTGCGTTATCTTCAGCTTTCTTCAACAGATCCTCCAACATCTTGATTCTCTCTTGGAGTTTCTTCTCCTTTGCCAACATGGCGTCTATCGTGAGTTTCAGCTCCTCAATCTCTGCCAGGTATTTACGGAACTCGACTGTATGCTCTACCGTTTCCTGAAAAAGTAAGGTGGTTATTTGGGGAATAAGACCGTTACAAAGTAGGGTGTCCAGCTGGTGTTCGTGATTTCCGTAAAGCTGCTTCTTTAAAAATTACAATGTATCGCTGGGGTGAAATTATTGGAATGTTGTGTTGTAATGAATCTAATAATCTACTCAGTTTTAGAGTCAGATATTATTATTATTATTAAGTTGGATGACAAATGTAACATCCCCATGAATCTTAAATGAAATAACTGCTAGCCAGTGTATTGGTAATTGATTCCAGTACCTTACACACCAGACTACAAGATTAGACAACTAGTAACCCCAGACCACTTAGCTTGTAACCATGGTAATATGAGAAGGTTTACTGATATATATCCCTTAGAGGGGCCGTTATTCTGCTGTAGTACCCAGCTCTACTTAAACTACAACTCTATTGCCGTCTAAATATAATATGTCTAATTGTTGATGCGATCTGAATGTTTGAATATATTAAAATATTGATAAAAGAGGTCAAAGGAATGTTACAATGCCAGGACGGTGTAATTTGAGTAATTATCTTATAAAAGTGTAAGTATGGCTTGTTTCCCGCCCAATATCACATTCAAACTAACTCAGAGAGCCCACTTGTACGCTATGAGGAAGTGTGTGTAAGTGTGTTCACTAATTTGATGTTATTAGAATCACGTGTAAAATGCACTAGTGAACTACACAGGTAGTTCACTAGTTTAGTTGTGTACGGTAGCTAGTTGAATAATGGCAAGCAGCCAAATTGCCAACAATTAAAACTTAACAATTTAACACGGGAGCAAGAGTTATCATGAAACAGTCCTGCATGTACGAATGCAGCATTTATATTCTAATAATACATGTACTGTACCTTGACGGTGACAGTGCTGGCGAATGCTTTAGCAGAATCCAGCTCCTTCTGGTGCACAGTGGTGAGCTGCTCGCGCAGAATGCGCTTCTCCTCCTCGAAGTGCTCGCGCGCTTTGCCGAGTGCCTCGCTCAGCTGCATTGCGAACTCTTCCGCAGCTTCCTTCTTTCTTATCTTCCTAACGTGTGTTGAGGAAGTCTCTCTTCGTAGTTCTGACAGCTCCTAGATAAATTAATATTGTTATTTTTTATTCCACACATTAGAAATTAGGAAATAAAACTAAACCCGGTATAATTGTATAACGTCTATTTCTATGCAGACTGCATGCATGATCATATCTGGGATATTTAAATAACTTGATATGAGTATCATCCGAATTTATTGTGTAAGCTAACAAGGCGATCGTTCAGGGAATTATTGACCAGATTGTTTAAAAATCATTATATTTATTACATAGCAATCTTATAAAATGTTAATAAGTGGGCCAAAAAAGTACACAGAATAGCATCACTTGACAGTTCACATGCTATTAATAGAAAAGACTTTTTTGGACAATAAGGTTAACTTATCTGGCGGGGAAATCAGAATACACTAAAAAAGGTATAAATATAATAAACTAAAAGAACCTTTTCTTTGAGCGAATCTTTGAACTCCATCTCCTCCCTTAGAGTCTGAGTCTTATTCTCGATATCTATCCTCTTTAGAGTCTCTCTGTCCAACTCGTCCTTGAGATCTTCTAAATTCTTCCTTAGATTCTTCAGGTCACTCTTCATGCTCTTCTCCCTGTCTGAATACTCTTTCAGCTGTTGTTTTAGTCTAGTTATGTCGTTTTCGTAGTTTGAAATTACTCGTTCCAGTCGCACGATCTCTTTTTCTGATGATTTCCTGAGAAAATGAACCAATTATTTCATTAATTAATCAGCAAATGACAAGATGTCTCGAATGGTAGTGAATTTGAGAAATGAATGTAACTAGCTTATTTAAGCGATTTTGCCTAATGATGTGAAATGACCACAGGATAGTTTTTGAGCTAGACTAATGGAAGGGAGGCAACTTTACTTTATCTAAACTAATCATTTAGACGAAAGGACGTCTAATTGTATAATTATCACTTTTTCTTTCACTGGGGGCCCAGTGATCTTGACTTAAAATTTAAAACTTGCTGTAAGATTTATAGCTTACTGTACAATACATGGTGAGTGGTGACATAGTAAGGGGTAGTAATTAAATAAGGAGATTAATATAACTACCTGTTATTTTGCTCGTCAGCAAGCTGTTTTCTGATCTCATCGTTCTCTTTCTGTAATCTCTTGTTATTTGCCTTGGCCTCCTGGATGTCTCCCAGAGCATCAGCAAATTTCTGCTCCAGCTCTTCAATCAGCTTCTTCAGTCTCTCTATCTCCCCATCTTTATCTTCAAGATCTCTCTTTAGATTATCGATGGCATCAAGATTTCGACTTGCTTCGAGTTCGAGAGCTGCCTTCGCGTTGGCTGTTTCATCAAGGAGTCTGCGGGCTTCTTCGATCTCGGTGTGGAACAGATCTTTGAGGGATTCCTGGATCTTACTAAGCTCTCCGTCAACCTGTTTTGTTGGTTTATTTTTAACTAGATAGAAGGAGCTGAAAATAGCAGAATTAATTTTATGGATTTTTGGACAACATTTCATGCCGTTGCGTTCCTAATAATTGATTGTAACAACAAAATAAAACAAATTTATTAACGAACATAAAAAATTAAAAATCATATGAAGACTTCCATGTACTCATGATCATGAGAACTATGTGACCAGATTCCTGAGCTGTCAATCAACTAGTTTCGGTTAAATGCTATCAACTAAGGATTCGTCATCTAGCAGATTCTAATTTCAAATATAATAAATCAGTGTATAATTGCGACTTGTTGGACAGATAAACTTTAAAGGGATGAGCGTAAGCATGAAAAGAAAGCAGGAAATTACTATGATGGTCGCATTTAGGCCAATGAGGGTATGGAGTGTGGCGGTACAACAAGAAAAACTCTGAACGATATACGCCGACCAAAATACAAACTTCAAACTGCAAAAAGAGACAAACATTGCAGCGCAAGCAAAACACAAGGTCCATTTAAACTAGAAACTAAAACACACGTACCAAAAGTTCACTATCAAACAATTAACAAACTAGATTCCAAGAAAGCTGCCCCCTAACTTTACACACATATACACAAAGACACGATATAGATAATGGCTTGTCCCAGCATACAACAACAGAGATAAGATACAAGGGCAGGTCTCTCCCACAAGTTGGGATGGCCTGAGGTGCTTATCTCCTTTTCAGTAACCCTAAGCCACTCTGTTTCGAGGCACTATGCTAGCTGTAGGGGGGTTAGTCCTACGAGCCAGAGACTGTGTATCACCAGCCGAAGCTGTACCAAATCACAGCTTGGTAACTGGCCGACTTGCATCCGACCGGATTTGGACCCGGCCTTCTGCTTGGGAGGCGATCGTGTTACCACTACACCACCCAGCCGTCCCAGCATGGGAAGTGGCAACTGTGTAACATATTATGTAAAATGCTGTAGTAGAGTGGACCTTAATTACATTGTGTGAAGATATTTCATAGCCAGAATTCCCAGAATTAAAGATAACCCGATTGGAGTGGGATAAACGGCAGTCCAAATTGGTTTACCCAATTTCGCATATAATGTTTTCCGTTAGTAATTCCCATTTCCCATTCTAATATTATAGAATATTCTTGTTACATAAATTATTACGAAACCCTAATTAACTGTAAAAACCTTAATTAACTGACCTGAATGGGCTCTTTAATCTCCTTGAGAGATCTCATGTGGTTATCATAGACCAACAAACGTACAAAAAAATCATGTGAAGACTTCATGAGAACTAAGTGACCAGATTCCTGAGCTGTCAATCAACTAGTTTCGGTTAAATGCTTTCAACTAATATAAGGATTCGTCATCTAGCAGATTCTAATTTCTAATATAATAAATCAGTGTATAATTGCGACTTGTTGGACAGATAAACTTAAAGGGATGAGCGTAAGCATGAAAAGAAAGCAGGAAATTACTATGGTGGTCGCATTCAGGCCAATGAGACTGTGGAGTGTGGCGGTACAACAAGAAAAACTCTGAACGATATACGCCGACCAAAATACAAACTTCAAACTGCAAAAAGAGACAAACATTGCAGCGCAAGCAAAACACAAAGTCCATTTAAACTAGAAACACACATACACAAAGTTTACTATCAAACAAACTAGATTCCAAGAAAGCTGCCCCCTAATTTTACACACACTTACACAAAGACACGATATAGATAATGGAGGAGCTTGCCTTGTCCCAGCATGGGAAGTGGGAATTGTGTAACATATTATATAAAATGCTGTAGTAGAGTGGACCTTAATTACATTGTGTTCAAAGATATTTCATAGCCAGAATTCCCAGAATTAAAGATAACTCGATTGGAGTAGGATAAACGCCAAACGGCAGTCAAAAAGTCCAAATTGGTTAATACCCAATTCCGCATATAATGTTTTCCGTTAGTAATTCCCATTCTATTATTATACAATATTCTTTTTCCCCTTTTTATGTAAATTATTATGAAACCACAATTAACTGTAAAAACCTTAATTAACTGACCTGAATGTGCTCCTCGGTCTCTTCAATCTCCTTGAGAGATCTCATGTGGTTTACATAGACCAACAAACGCTCGTTCAGGTCCCGGAGCTCCTCCTTCTCACGGCATCGGGTGGTCAAACTCTTGAAGTGTTCTGGTGATTTGGGCCGGTACGGCATGTTGGGGGTTTGTGTTGCCATCGTAGCGTCCTGAAATTGAAATATGTTAATCATAAAGGTGATCACAATTTACAGATGACTTAGCTCTAATACATCGTGTCATGTGAATTGGTCATCTCTTTTAGTCTTTAGAGTTCATTGTCACGATCAGCAATATTGAGAGGATTACAAACTGTATATTTAATTGATACCGACGGGATCCCGACAGTCTTAACATTTGAAGTCTGTCTTAATCATAACTCTACTTACTAGCATGCCTTTTATGTTAGCAATAACATACTGTTTATCTCTCCTTTCTAAGGACGTGTAATGAGGTCCAAAGCTTTCAACATGACTTTCCAAATCCGAGTCAAAACTCGTGTTGGACTCTATATCAACAATATCCACATTAACATCATCCCAAGACAGCCGAGGAATCTTGAATTTTGGCAGAACTTTGTACTCCTCGATGCTTTTGGAATAAACACCGCTCCTAGTTTCAATGGTGCTGGAGAAGGACTTCGTGGAGACCAACTCAGTTTCGGACACCTCCAAAACGGCATCTTGTGGAGTAGGTTCTGGTTCTTGTGGAGTAGGTTCAGGGGATTTAGCCTTTTGTTTGCCAGACGAACTGGCTGCAGCATTCCTTCTCGGCATTTCTGGAGCTTAAAAGTGCGACCACAGAAAGCAAACGATAACTTACAAAGCTATTAATGTATGGCAACGTTCGCGGGCTACATGCTCACATTATGTCATTTCCGGGATATAACGCCATTCTGCATGAATTAAAGATAGTGAGCCTATCATAGAGATCTACAGACTATAGAGGTTATAATAGTAGCAACAAGCAAGCCAGTACTATCACGTACAGTGTGTCACGTGGTCCAATAAGATACGGCTTGTTCCAGATGTGGTCCATGTGGCCGGGCAAGGAAATCATTACACACGTGTTAGGTAGTAGGAATGTAGTTGTGTGGTTACTTTTCCCCTATACATTAAGAGATTAGGCTACTGTAAGTAGAGTCAGTCGTTAAGAAACACTGGAACAATAAGCAAAATACTGGCGCAAGTTGACCCATTGATTCTTTATCTGTAGTTGATGTATGTCAGTTCCGTTAATCGTCAGTATCAGTATGTCTTATGTCTGTCAATACTGCAAGATAGAAATATGATTTAGATAATCATTTGAAAACAAGATATAGCTACAAAAAAAGCATTTTCTACTGAAAGCATGATAATGAAACGTTTGTAAAAATAACCAATAACATGATGAGCAGACAAACCTGATTCTTCTAGTTTAGAAGAGTAAAGTTGAGTTAGCCGGGGTTTGTCGCTAGCTTTTTGATGGAAGTAGCCGGAGTGAACTGTCCGTTTCTATCACAGAAATTCGGGCTACTGGCGTCCTCGCTAAAACGAAATAAGGGGCTTCTTAAAACAGTGAAACAGGGTAATTCAGAAAATGTTATAACAATGTAAGACAAATATTCCAACAATTGAATGTATGAATACAAAATGAAGCAGTAAAAGTCGTGCATGCAGTTCGTATTTTTTATGGAAATATATGACTCCTACCTGACTGCTCCGGAGCCAAGTTTCCCAATTTTCAAATTTTGTACGATAAATTTGTTAATACAGTAATTGGGACAACGTTTGGAGAATGAACGAACTCATTTTATTGGACGAATTGAGAATTACTACATCCAAACGTGGATTTATATATTGAACTTGGCAAAACATCAAAATCAAAGAAAATGTGTATGGGGTCACAGGCAATACGGGTCACGTTGCCAAGCTTTAACTTTTCTTAAAAACCATCAAAACAATCAATCATTAACTTGTTCTTCACTAGTCCATAGGATAGATCGGTACTTGGCCCAGAATGTGAGATTTATTTACAGTTCTTATTTTCTCCTCTACTGATCATAAAGCCCCTTATTAACATTGAATGCTTTCTGAGCAGGTGACCAGAGCTACTGAATGTCCAAAAACAAAAATTGAATCAAAACAACAATGTTTATAAATTAATTAACTGCCCGGCCCTAGCAGAGTCTAATTTTTTTGTGGTATTAGAGGTATAATGAGCTCAAACAGTTTCACTCCTGCTCATGATTCAGCACGTCGGGGTTCCATCTTCTCCTGGTATTTCTGGATCCTGTCCTCTATCTCCCCTCTGAAGTGACGAATAAGACCCTGCGCAGGCCATGCTGCTCCATCACCCAGAGCGCAGATAGTGTGTCCTTCAACTTGATACGAGATCTCAAGCAACATGTCGATCTCCTCAGGCTTGGCATTACCCTCAACCATCCTGTAGAGTATCCTAGCCATCCAGCCAGTACCTTCTCTGCAGGGGGTGCACTGTCCACAACTCTCGTGCTGGTAAAAGTGCATGAGACGAGCAATGGCCAGGATGATGTCTGTATCCTTGTTCATCACAATGACGGCAGCAGTTCCGAGTGCTGTCTTGACCTCGGCCAGAGCGTCGAAATCAGTGAGTACAGTGCTGCAGGTTTCCAAGGGGATGACAGGAGTGGAGCTGCCACCAGGGATGACTGCCAACAAGTTGTCCCAACCTCCGATGACTCCACCGGCGTGTTGCTCGATCAGTTGTTTTAGAGGAATACTCATTTCCTCCTCTACAGTTGTGGGACAGTTCACGTGTCCAGAAATGTTGAAGAGTTTGGTGCCAGTGTTACGAGGTCGACCAAATGAAGCAAACCAGTCAGGACCACGACGGAGGATTGTTGGGGCAACTGCGATCGTTTCTACGTTGTTAACGGTAGTTGGGCAACCGAACACGCCTACATCTGCTGGGAATGGCGGCTTCAGACGGGGCTTTCCAGCTTTTCCCTCTAGAGACTCTATCAGAGAGGTTTCCTCTCCGCAGACGTACGCTCCAGCTCCTCTGTGAATGTAAATGTCAAAATCATATCCAGAATCACAAGCGTTGTGTCCAAGATATCCCTTCTCATAAGCCTGATTGATAGCCCTCATTAAGTTAGATGTCTCGTGATAGAACTCCCCTCGGATGTAAATGTACGCAGCTCTGGCCCCCATGGCGGACCCAGCAATCAGACATCCCTCGATCAGCTTGTGGGGGTCGTGCCTCATGATCTCCCTGTCCTTACATGTGCCAGGCTCTCCTTCATCTGCGTTAACAACCAGGTACTTTGGGCGACCATCATCTGGCTTGTTCATGAAACTCCATTTAAGCCCGGAAGGAAATCCCGCTCCACCTCGACCACGGAGTCCAGATTTCTTCATCTCATCTACAATCCATGCGGATCCCTTTTGGATTATCTCTTTTGTTTTGTACCAGTCACCACGGGCCTCTGCTCCCTGTATTCCCCAATCATGTCGGCCGTACAGATTGGTAAAGATTCGGTCTTCATCCTTAAGGTTACCGTAAGAATCTTTCAGAAGAGTCTGTGATGTGGAGATGTTCCTACATGCAGTTAGCCGAGCACCATTCCTAACTAAAGACGTGAGCCGATTGCTGATCATACCATCTAAAACCCTGAACAGAGGTGTACAGATTAACTCGATGGAAACCAAAATACTCTTTACAGAAACTAACAAAAAACCACCAAAGTTCCGAAGTAAACTTGTTTAGAGTAAGTCCGATCTTAAGAGGTGGATTTGAAATTCAAAGAAATTTTCTATGACCCAGAAAGCTACGACAGAGATAAATTAACGTGATAATGCAAAACGTGTACGGCACGTGTGTAACACTGCACACACTAACTAATAAGCAATAAGCAAGTTTGCGCTAAGAAGTTATAATAATGTGCTGTTACACACAGCGTATAACAACATAACTACATCACAGCTACAGAGATATGCAATCAGAGTGTAAGTAGGCGACCAGCAAAGAAAACACACTAGCTTGATACAAAATCACACTACGAGACTCAACAGAACGCTCGATTAGATTTTGAGGAACGCAAAATAGACGAGCCAGATCTCGCGCGGCTTATGTAAAAACAGAATTGGATAACCAGGAATCAAATTTAAAATTTATTATAAGTAAATTGATTTACAAATGAAAATTTATATTGAATACATTCATGCATTTTTCATTTATACAATAAATTTGGTATTAAATTAAATCAAATTATAATTACCATGACGTTACGTTTAACTTATTTCATGAGCAGTTATATTTTGGTAGCATTAAAATATTTAAAAATTTCAATCAGTTATTAGATTAACGATTATTTAATAAATCGAAAGGTGAAAACACTTATTTAAAATTATTTTGGCTCTTTATCTTAACTTTACTTTAGATTCGGAAACTTCAAGGCGCCGCGCAGAAAGATTCTCGTAGAGAACTGAATTGTACGCTAAAACGCAAAATATTGTAAAGGAGCAGTATTAGTCGATGCGTGGTTATTTGCTAGGTACCTCTGCAATATATATGCGCGCGCACCATTTCTTTGTGAGAGATCAGGCTTTACTGCCCGCCATATTGAATTCTGTAACAAAATGTATACCGATGCGTATGTTTGCCGTCAGTTCATTTGCTCGTTTTGGGAGTTTGTTTTGCTTATTTTGGCTTATTTTGATCCAAATATTCCCTAGTGATGCTAGATGTGAAGTCCCGGTGGGTAGATCGAAGATCGGTACCCTGTACTGCTGCCTTCTCTGACCCGTTTTCCGGTTATGAGTAAAGTTTCTTTCCGTGCCCGAGCTCTTGATGCCACTAAAGCACTCCCTATCTATCGGAGTGATGAGATACCGGACCTTTACGACTACAATGTCATCAACAGGGCGGTCCCCCAGATGCCTACGGGAATGGAGAAGGAGGAAGAATCGGTGAGCTACTCTTAATGCGTCGCGCGCCCGAAGCGCGCGTTTTTTAAGTGCTAACAACTTTGAGCTCCTGCGCGGCGTATCACGTGCCAGTCACGTGTGTTGGGCAGCGCGTGTTACATCCAGCATTCGTGTGTGCTGCTATTTTAAGAAAATTGTTTTGAGTTTGGTGTGTATGTGTTCGTCTTGGTTCCCCGTTTCTCACCGCACCACTTTCCTGGATCAGTCGTGATGCTTGACTGTTCCGATCGTAAGCCCTTAAGTTTCAGTCTCTGTACTGGAACTCCTGTGGATTTAATCTTGGAAACGAAGCACACTTCCGGATGTAATTTAGTCTACATAATAGGTATTTTAGGATTCTTATAAATTCCCCTTCGATACATGTTGATCCTAATGTTAACATCATGTTTATTATTAGGTTGGAAGATCAATAACAGAGGTCTTCTTATTACAAACATGTGTTGAAATTTTTAAATATGCAATGTCCTAAAAGTAGGTTACATAGTCTCACTAATAACAACCATGAGAACAGCACTGGACAGGAATTTTTAATGTATATTTAAAATAAATGAAACGTCAAAAAAATTCAATCTTGAGAAAAAAATTCAATCTGTGTGAGATACCACTCATTAACGCCAGGAAGTCTGGATTTTACGGGAGCCATTACTTGCTACAAATTTTAAAATACGCAACACATGGGGATCTTCCCCGTTTAAAATTGCGGTAAATATTTCCCCTTAAAGGAGTAGCAAAGATGGGGAATCATTTCATGAAAATTGTTATGCCATAAATGTTGGTGGTCAACAGTGGCGAAAATTGGAAAATCATTCATTAAATTTAAATATATTTGCTAACGATGGAACTCGAGAAAGGAAAATAAACATTTCGATGAAAATCACGCAAGTTTTTTTCTTCTCGCCAGGAATTCCGGGAATCTCAGAAATTGGGTGTAGTAAATTTTCGATGGCCACCACCTCCGTAATTGATGGAATGTGGTTACAAATTTATCTGAATATGTTAAAGATCGGTGGCTGGCGGGTGACACTATCTTGGGCTCATAGCGGTGGCTTAAAATTTCTAAAAATTGTAATTTTAAATGTTTATTGCAGTCTCCATCTCTTATAAGGGTATAATACTAGTTTATCAGCTAAAATCAAACATAAAAATTACCCAAATTGGCTAATGATTATCACCACTAATTAGCTATATTATGGACGGTAGCATAGTGTAGGTAACTGAGTAGTGGATATTACAACCAAAATATAGTTTAATAGTAATTGGTCTATAAATGTAATTAACTCTGAACAAGTATATCTTGTTCAGAGGTATCAAAATCTTAATGGGATTCTGATACGAAATTTATGTTTGGTAATCTGATTTGACTTTCAAGCTATATGGCATGCTAATGCTCCTCAAAATGTTTACCCGAGATTGTTTTACACTGCACTATTCACTTAAGACGAGCGAATGAAAAAATAGTGGTTTCAACCGTTCGATTGTCCCACCATTGCATGGTCCATGATATTATATAAACTCTGCGACCTGTTCCTCGGAACCTTTACCGCCAATGTCATTCGAATAGTACTGATCTTAACTTATTAATAGTTCTGATCTTAACTTATCGAATAGTACTGATCTTTACTTATCAAAAAGTACTGATCTTAACTTATCGAATAGTACTTATCTTAACTTATCGAATAGTACTGATCTTAACTTATCAAAAAGTTCTGATCTTAACTTATCGAATAGTTCTGATCTTAACTTATCGAATAGTTCTGATTTAACTTATCGAATAGTTCTGATCTAACTTATCGAATAGTACTGATCTTTACTTATCGAATAGTACTGATCTTAACTTATTGAATAGTTCTGATCTTAACTTATCGAATAGTACTGATCTTAACTTATTAATAGTTCTGATCTTAACTTATCGAATAGTTCTGATCTTAACTTATCGAATAGTACTGATCTTAACTTATTAATAGTTCTGATCTTAACTTATCGAATAGTACTGATCTTAACTTATTAATAGTTCTGATCTTAACTTATCGAATAGTTCTGATTTAACTTATAGAATAGTTCTGATCTTAACTTATCAAAAAGTACTGATCTTAACTTATCGAATAGTACTGATCTTAACTTATTAATAGTTCTGATCTTAACTTATCGAATAGTTCTGATCTTAACTTATCGAATAGTACTTATCTTAACTTATCGAATAGTTCTGATCTTAACTTATCGAATAGTTCTGATCTTAACTTATCGAATAGTTCTGATCTTAACTTATCGAATAGTTCTGATCTTAACTCATCGAATAGTTCTGATCTTAACTTATCGAATAGTTCTGATCTTAACTTATCGAATAGTTCTGATCTTAACTTATCGAATAGTACTGATCTTTACTTATCGAATAGTACTGATCTTAACTTATCGAATAGTTCTGATCTTAACTTATCGAATAGTACTGATCTTAACTTATCGAATAGTTCTGATCTTAACTTATCAATAGTTCCGATCTTTCTTCTAAAATAGATGATTTTAGAAGAAAAATTGTCTTACATAATTTTCTAGCTCGAACACAAGGGTTCCCCGGCCCCCTTGCATAAATGTTGTACAAATTGTACACATTTTTTACAAATTTCGTGTCTTTTAGTATTATTAATTTGGTACTAAAAGATTCGTCTTATCAAGCTGATATAACGATTATGTTTAAAAAAATTAAAACTGATACTTTTTGAGTCATAGGCATTTTAAAATCTGCCATTTTTGGCCCTTTTTTACGATGAATTTTACTAAGTCCTTTGAGGCCAGATGTCATACCTTAAAACTCAAAATTGAGAGAAATCCTGTTCCAAAAAATTGGATATGATCATCAGCTTCACTCACAAGAATTTTTGAAGCGATATCTTATGACCTGGGTGATTGGTAAAATGTACAACTTTAATAGGAGGCAAAAATTTTAATCTTGCTTCTCTCGACCTTGTTCGGTCTGTAACTTCGTCATTTATTATTTGATTGCATAATCCTTTGGAGGGCTTCTTGTACGGATTGTAAGTAATGTTCAGTAAAAATCAGCCAAAAAACTTTTAAAATGACTAAATTATCGGTATTTCAGTGACAGACTTCTCAAAATTTCCAAAAGAATTTTTTTTTTTCGAAATTGCGTACTCTCAAATTTTTTTTCAATGCATCAAATCTTATTGTTTTTATCTATACTTTCATAATATGAAGTCAAATCCCGAACCTCGACAAAAAAGGTTTTAATGTGTGTCCCGATCAGTGCACACTTAGTCTTAAGAAAATTTGGGGCTTAAGTAAGTATCGATTACAATTACGCTTCCAACACGCAATATATATTGAGGCTAACGCAACTTTAAGTGCACGCTAATTTTAACTCCCAAAGTTGTACTTAAATATTTAAATCATGAAACTTAGGTAAAAAGTTGTACTTAAGTCTAAGACTCAGTTCGTGGATGACAAACGAAGGGTTGTACTTAAATTTATACTTAAGTCATTTTTAAATACACCATAAACTGTTCGAGGAAGCCACCCAGATCCTAACTTATCAATAGTTCTGATCTTAACTTATCGAATAGTTCTGATCTTAACTTATCGAATAGTTCTGATCTTAACTTATCGAATAGTTCTGATTTAACTTATCAATAGTTCTGATTTAACTTATCGAATAGTTCTGATCTTAACTTATCAGGGTACCTAAACGACTTCAAGCAAACCAATCGAATGAAATACCTTCAAATATTATCGGGGGGGGGGGGGGGGGGGGTTCTCTACACTTTTTTACACCATACATGAAAAAAGGCAAAAGTGTAGTGTAAAAACGTGTAATGTAAAAACGTGTAAAAAAGTGACATTTTTTTTTTCTCACTAAAGGTATGTTTTGCCCCTGTTTTGCCTTGGGAAATGTACTATGTGAAGACTGATGGGAAAATATTAGGAAAAAAGAAGATTTTGAGAAGATGATTTGGTTAAGTGTAATTTAAGGTGTAAAAAAACGTAATTTAGTGTACCTTTTTTACTACACTTTTTACTACACTATACACCAAAAAAGGCAAAAGTGTAGTGTACAAAAGTGTAGTGAACACTGAAATTAGAGGTTGGAATCACCGCCAACTGCCAACCAACACTTCTTAAACGGAATTTTGAATCTTGGGAGAGTCCTCGACAATTACAATTTATTTTATAAGATTTTGATTTTTGCAATGGTGAAAAATAAACCATAACTTTTCGACATCTAATTGTGATAAATTTGTCGCCCTCTATGGTAAATATTTTCGAGAATGATATCACCATATAATACATGCCATGCACATGATAAAATATATCTTTTCAATAACGTCCTACTCGCTCCTAAGATTTAAAGGCCACAATTGAAAGTCTTGTGTATCCAACTTCCAAGGGCAAAGTTTTGTTTTAGCCGTAGGTAAAATTTCGAGTTAGAGGGTTAGCAGGAAACCGTCATAAAGGGAGGGTGAAATCTTACCTCTACGACTTCAGAGTTTAAGAATTCAGACTATACATCTAAAGATAAGAATGGAATGGAGGTTGTTCACACGAGGCAAATACTTCCTATCGTATTCAATAACAAATGAACGATACTTACCTCTCCATTCGAAACTAAATCAATTAAGATCTCAATATCGCGACGCTAACATTTCTTCTTTTTCCAGGAGAAGCATTTGCAGCAAGCTATCTCAGTAGATGCTCTTCAGAAGAACAAGCCTATAATCCCGACCCCAGAAAGCCAAGAAGATGTGCCACACTACGAGAAAGTCTATTCCAGCACATGCCGACTTCCACGCAATCTCATTAAACTTTCCGGTGAGTCTCAACAAGTTCTAATTTTCTTGGATTTGGTTGGGACTCGGTTTAATTATGTTGGCTGATAATCAAAGACATTATTAAGAGCATCAAGTTGATGTTATTTTTCTGGCAGCGTTCGACGCACTTGGTCTTGATGCTGAGTATGCTGATTACGATATGGACTCCGACGACGAGGAATTCCTTAAAACTTGTGAAGAGGTACGTTTCTGCCTGCTGGTTTTTCAGTATTATCAGCGTTTATAGCCCTTATAGTGTGTCAGGTTTGTTGTTCTGGCATTTCAATTGAGTCGGCGGCTAACTTAATTTCAGTCAACTTCCTCGTAGAACCTGCTTGGGCTGTTGCCAACAGTTAAATATTCTAACTTATGCACCTATCTTACAATTATTGCATCCTGTTAAATTTTTACACTGCTGCTCAACTAGAGAAGTGTCCCTTTGACTAATTCATTATCAGGAAGTAACGCCGATGGATTTCGAGAGGATGATAGAGTCGATGGAGAAGAGCAGCGAGAATAATGTTATCAGTCTACTGGACGCGAAACAGCTTTTCAGTGATGTAAACCACAACACTTTAGCACAAATCTACGACTACTGGCTCAACAAACGACTCTCCCTGGTACGTGTTTTATACATCCCGCTATTATTGCTCAATAAACACTGCGTGAGAGAACAATTTCTTATTTGGCCACAAATGTAGCGGCGATGCGAATAAAATGCATTGCCAATATCTTATCAACGACGTACCAAGAGAATAATATGGTAACGTGATTTTAAGGCTCGGATCATGGTATATTTGTTATTCTTCGTGATATGACAAGTAAAACACTTTAAATAGAAAAAGCTGTAGGTTGTGCACTCAGTTGAGCAGTTAAAATAATCTGTCAAATAAAACCAATCATAAAATAAGAAATCATGTGACATACTTTGATGGATTGATGTTTTACAGTAAACGTTGAAAACATAAAACTGTCTCGGTCTAAAAGCCCAGTTCAAGAACTAGGCATTCAAACCAAAAGTGAGGAACCATTGCGAATTATGAATTGTGAAGAGTTATTTTTTAAGAGAACCTGGTTTTGGAGGTTTCGTTGTAGGTTCCCACACCACAACGCTATCAGCCTAACTCTAACCCAACCCTAACTCTAGCTCATAATAATCTTGTCGCAATATAGTTGTGGTTGCCCCAGCTTGAAATGATTGGGATTATTTACGCTGCTTTTAAAATAACACATGTCATCGCTCCTTAACTTACTACTCTACTATTTCGTGTTGAAATCATGCTGTACGATAAGATCTCGTCATAGCAGTTAGGAAATCTCTCAACAGATGGCCATTACATTTTCAGGATTTGAGCACAATATGGCTATAAGACTATTTGAAGTGCTTACCTTACTCGTTAGTATTATGGAGGTTAAAGATTGGCGGTTTTTGGGCTATACCGCCATATTTTTAATGGCCATAATATAAACCGCTGAATTAATTTTTGATGTTCCCGTGTGGTCATAATATGCTAAAATTAGCTTTCTAACGTGAAGACAAACATATACAAGTAGTCATTTGGCTAACAGTAGCTCAGGCTAGCCGCTAGTCGTAGATACAAGATAACATTTAGATGTGGCGGTTTTTCGGGTATCCCGTCATAATTTAACCCGCCACGATGTTACCAAGTAAGATACTTAAAATGTGAAAACATTTTGGTATTCATCACGTGTTATGACACATTTGCAAAGAAGTGTCCTTCTTGATATTATTAGACATTTGCATTGGTCACTAGTATTGCAACATCAAGTACCATAATCCTACTCTGATTCGTTCTTGAAACATTCACTAAACGCTTAACTTGGTTCAATATATCTTGATTACTCAAATATTTCTTTCTTCACCAAGAAGACGTATAATCAGCCACTTGTAACGTTATTTACAATGGGATAGATAAATAATGCATGTTTGCAGTTTAGTGTTTGCAGTTTAGTATCTGCTTTATAAGATAGGGGTTACATTGATTAGTAAAGAGTATGGATTTGTCGTTTCCAAACATGATCTAGATTGTCTCATATTTGTAGGCGTTCCTCGTAAACACTAGATCGCAAGTATCATATCCCCCTAAAAGAAATGTATTACTTAACTGTGCTAGTTATAATTTTACAGTACGTAATTAGGTCTTTGTATGACCTGAAACTAACAAACCCTTAAAGTTTCAATAACAAAAGCTTAAGTCACTGAGTCTACTTGATGGGATTTGTACTCGGACCGATGAGCCGATCCATTGTTCGTTCCACGAATCTTGAAACATGATCGATGTATAACGCCTCCTGAAAAACTACATGGCTCAATTTAATATCAATTGAGCCAGAGAGTCTTGAGATAATCAAATGTTCATTGTGAGACGAGAAATATGTTCCAATAGCTATTAATAACTTTCAATATGGGGAATATGTAGACGTTGGGGAATATGTAGACTTTGGACACTGTTGAGATACTGAACGAACAGAAAAATCTATTTCTCCAGAATTGCTTTGACTTCAAAATATGAGGTCTAACTTGGTTTCTTATTAATATGGGATTTAACCATCTACAGACTAGCTTATACTGTATTTGGTAGCAGTACTCCTTCTTGTTTGTATCCAATTTATAGAGACCGTTTCGCGTTCTAATTTCTTAAAACAAGACTTTGAGACCCTGATCAACTACTGTGCAGGGAATAACCTACGAGAGGGCTTCATGTCAGAACTTTTAAATTTTACACATTTTCCCTTAGATCTTCAACTGATCTCTCCATCAATTGGTGTTAATTGTATTTCTTCTGAGGTCTCGTATACGTGCAATTCTCGCATTTCTTAGAACATTCAACAACGACTAAACATTGCATAGTTCTTATACCCTTCCTAATTCATAATGACTTGAGTGACTACTTATATCCCTGAACACCAACTTACTCTTGGTAATTTGCCCTTCAGTAAATTACTCTCCGTCGAAACACTTAGTTTCATCTATCTGTGAGCAATGAATTGAGAAACTGAGTTGTAACAGACTCACTAAGAACTCTGGCGATTTTGATGGCCAGGTATGAGGCAAATTGATGCCTTAAATAAACAGAAAATTATTTAATTTGACGTTTCAGTGTCCAAGAAATTCCTTAATTCGGTAGCTTCAAATTTCATCATTATGCCTAAACTGTCCTAATCTGCAGGGAAGTTATTATGCTCATTCTTCAATTTGCATATTAAACTTTAATTGAAATCAATTGACTGAGCGTTTAACATAAAATTAGAAGTATTTATCGTTAATTACTGAGCTGATCTAACTTAAGCAGAAGTTTGAGTAGAGAGAATGGCGCGCATTGCGCAGTAATCTGAGCTTAGTCGGCTAACTAAGCCTCACTCGTGACGTATAAGATGATCTAATGACTTCTTGTTGAGGATATATCGGCTTAGGGCATTTGGTTTACTAGAATAAGATTGAACCACAGCGCATACTGCTTATCTAGGCGAAGGGTGTAAATTCTCCCAATTTGGTTGTCGGTCGAGGCCATATGAATTAGCGAACAGGTGTTGTGTTTTAAAATGGCGGGAACATCAGATTCTTTGATTCAGAGTTGAAGATTTATTTTACAATGGTATAGCTTACAGTCAAGGTTACCAATCACAGTACTTAAAATGCTCGATATTTGTAGTTCCATGTTTACAAATGGACCATACTATATAGCACAGCACAGGAATAATCGCATTTGGACCCGTTTCTGAGAGAGTCACCACCACCAAATATGGAATAATTGGGCATCATTGCTGTATCAGGCTTTTGTCTCCATTTGGTTTTCAGCGAGTGTGTGTATAGTTGCATGATGATAGCAGCTGATGGTTCCGCATTATTATGACTAATTTCGGCTTATCTATTGTTCATTAACTCGTTAAGCAGACGTGGACAATTGGCAATTTTTACATTGGTCTATTGAGAACGACGTATTAAAGAGCGGGAAGCTGAAATTCCTATATGCCAAAAAGATAATGTCAGCATTTAACGCGCGCGTCGCGCGCACTAATTGTGTGTGACTCCGTGTATATTGTGAAGCGTCTTTGTTGTGAGTCAACATCACGTGACATCCTTTTTGTGCACTGAGCCAACGTTTAGACAATAATGCATGTTTTTCGATCGAGGAAAGTGTCTAGAAATTTCTGCATGGTTCGAATTTAAATTTCGTTAATAATGCTCGAATATAGACAAGTAAAGTCACGTGAGGCAGCTGCAGTTGTCTTACACGTCTGAAATCTCAACACTCGCTTGTCTAATGATAACGGTGTACTGGCTGACTGGCCCAGAGCCAGCTATAGCTGCAATTATCTATCTCTGCAACCTGCAATAACGTGAATGTACTATTTCAGCGTATCCCACTGTTGCCTGAAATCAAAACTGGTTCTAAAGAATTGCTTCCGACAGATCCTTATGCTGCCTTCAGAAAGAGACAAGAGAAAATGCTCACAAGAAAGGTATGATTTGTTTTGGATGCTGCTTCAATGTTGGATGAATCATGAATCTTTTGAAAAATTGTATGGGGTCGCTTGGTTTGATTGTGCTACATGAATCTGACCTAAAAACTTCTCAGAATCGCAAGAATGACGAAGCATCTTACTCTAAAATGTTCAAACTGAAGCAAGAAATTACCCGAGCTGTGTAAGTGTTCTTTCTCTTGAAAATAATTGTTTTAGCGGCTATTCCAATACACAAAATTGGCCAGCTAATTTAATTCCTTAGTGGTAGACGAATCATTTGGTGTGTTGATTTTATTTATTGTTTTCAGACATCTCCTTGAGCTGGTTAAGAATCGCGAGAAGACAAAACGAGATCTTCTCAAGATAACAGTCGATATTTTCAAGAAACGGTTAGTCTAGACGTCTTGATAAGATGTATTTCATCTGTATTTATTTAATCGTGAATTCCGTACATGTGCCAAATTTATCGCGAACTTGTCCCAAAATAATGGAGCCAATCCACATTAATATCTCAGTAAGCTTAACTGTATTCTATCAGGTGCGACGTTGGTGACTTCGACGGCACACACTCTCGAGAGTTTAGCGACAATGCTGTGGTGGCCAACCTGCGTTACGGCGTAGAGGAGAAACGCCGTCACATCGAAGACGAGGCTGCTCAACTCTACGAAAAGCTGAACCAATACAGTGCTGAAGAAGAGTCCCAATGCGCATACCCCTTCAAGCGGAAGAAGCATGTGTACTTCAACAAACCGCGCCCCCCGCCGGATGAGCCCTGGCAGTACACTGAAAATGTGGAGCGGTACAGATACACTTGTAGGAAGCTCTCCTCTTGTCTGGGTCTTAGTCGACGTCGTGTGGGTAGAGGCGGCAGGTATGTACTGAGGAGTGTGGAGGCCATGTTGGTATCTAGGCGATATGGCCATTGTTAGAATCATCACCTTATCATTAATCTCCACACTAATTGATCAATTTGGCCTCCTGTAGATCAATTAAATTAATACTATTAGTATTAGTCACATGAAATTGTTCACTTAAAACGAGACTATCATCACTGTCCTCATATCATTTCTAATAATCCCATTCCCAGAGTGTGGGTGGATCGAAGACATGAAAGGGATCACCACATCAACTGTTTGCATCCGCCTAAACGAAGACATTCCTCCGAAACTGAGTCCAAACAAGAAGTAAACGACTTGTTTGACGATCTTTTAAGAAACTTTTCCCCCTCCTACAGTCAGACTAACCGAACTAACACCATAATCAAACAGACAGCGGCCTCGCCTATCGTAAAGATTCCAGATAGGTGACTGCCTGAATATTAGAAACTGTTTTTATCTAGTTTTAGCCTTTAACTTTTTTTCATTGATTGTTCATATATACCCATGTATACCCTCATTTGCGAGTTTCCCTTGTGACGCTGATTTGTGTTATATATTGTAATTGCGATTGTTATAAAAGTTTGGTATGCTCTTGTTTAACCTGTGCAATATTACTGAAACGTGAGATGATAAGCAAATGGAAGTTCAGATCATTATTAATTGAAAAGGTGTGTTTCATTTGTCTAAGTTGTTAAATATGATGGCATCTAGTTTCATAAAGTAGAACTCCTAGTACCCTAAAATAGACTTGCTGTATTAAAAGCTGGTTTTTCACTCTGGGTTGGATATGGAAGGGCGTCCACATTTATTCCCCATTTTTTTGGTAAAATGGGTATTCCATAAACAGCTGAAACTGTATAGTAGTATAGTAGTTTTGACGAAAATAAACTATCGTGCTAATCCAGAGAGGGGGTTAAGATTTTGCGACTAAAGTGGACGATATGGGGGTGTTAGGCAAAAACCGACGTCACAATTTCCATATGTAAAATTTCGGAACTGTCGATATAAAAACTGTCTAGCTGAAAATGAATCAACATACCATATAATGTCAATGTGTCCGAGTACCGAAATAAAAGCCCCAAATGTTTTAGATCGTGATCAGTGATGCTTGAACTGATTATTCTCATATTACGGATCTGTGAAAATCTCCGATGTTTGTGGCATGTGGACGGCCCCTAATAGTATATATAGGGGGTGCACGATAAAAATAAACTTGCTCGGATTTTAAAAATTTTTGTACCACGGTTTTCTAGAGACTGTGAGAATTTTCATAATACCAAATTTGTCATACCTTTTTGGAAAGATCAGTGAGTTTCACCTAGGTGCCATATTTGATGCTGCGCGGCTTTTGGAGCAAAAATAGCTGTAAAAGTCGCGTAATTTGACCAAATTCGTTGATTTTTGTCGTATTATTCACAACTGTCTGAAAAATTTGGTGGATATCGGAGTTGATATAGTGATCAAAATGGGGCAAAATACGCTGCTTTTAGCTGTAACATAATATCTGATGGTTGGAAAAGCTTTAAATTTTCGGACACTTTCCTTGTAAGTTTATGAGTAAGCTTGCTAATTTTTGTTGCAATCGGAGGTCGGGAAGGATACTTAATATCTATTTGTTTGAAGAAAATTGTGCTGGCCGAAATTAGCGCTTAAAAACCATCCTATAGTCGGCACGCGCGGCTCACTGTCGATGGAGCACTACCTACCCCTAACACCTAAATAGAGTGGTAGTTTTATGGTATCACATATCAGGAATAATTAGATTAGTTAACAATGAACATTGCCAAATGACAATTTGTACTAACGCGATGTATGTTGGCTGTATACAGGGCCGGGCTCACTGCGCGCGCATCAACAAATAGTATAACGCGAGATCGTAGCAATGCATTACCGGTGCGGGCTGCTACGAGCTGTAAGTTGCTACACGTTGTATACCTCTCTCATGAACGCGAAGCGTGCACTGAGCACTCCGGGGTTGCAGCGTGTGTCAAGCTGTAAACTGTGAAGTATTAACAATTAAAACCATAAATTTAAATAAAAAATCTCGCTCGCACTTAAACATTAAAATCGCTCGCCCAAATTTTGGGAGAATTCTTGTAAAAAGGCTTGAGTGCACGGCTCCCCCTGTATCGTAAAAACAATAATAGGGAATAGTATCACCCATTAATTAATTGATTGACAATGTCAACCCATCGAGATCGTTGCTCCGCGCGCGAAGCAAGAATGCTAGTTTGCGCGGCGCGTCATAGCGGCGAAGTCCTCCAACATCCAAGCTAGTTTAAGTTAAATACGAATTCCATTTGCGATTATTTAGGGCTCGGGTTAGAGTTCGGATTGTGGTTAGGGTTGATTTATTGTTTATGGATAGCTTCGGGGTTTTATTTTTTATGGTTATGGTTAGGATTCACATTTGATTGACGATGCGAAACAAGAATGCTAGTTTGCGCGGCGCGTCGAAGCGGCGAAGTCCTCCACGATTCACATAGCCATGAGTCTACGCGTACTGCGTAATGCGCTTGTTTCACAAGTAGAACTCCTGTGCCACCTTCGGCGGTCGCGTGCTACTGCAAGCGAAAGGGCTCTGGTTAGAGCAATGGTTAGGGTTTGGATTAGGATTTATGTAAAACCGTTTTGTTCGGCTGCAAAACCATAAAAGCAAAGTCACGTAATAACTTTTGGACGAGCAAATTAGTAAGAGCAGAAAAATATTTCCACATCGTAGGTTCGATCATGCTAGTTAAGTAGCTGGTGCAAGCGAAAGGGTGATGCAACATGTTTCAAAGAAACATGTTAAAATCGAGCGCGTGCCAAATAAAATGTAAACAATATTTCCGGACAACCTATCGATATAATGCTAATTTCCGCCCCTTATCATTTAATCCTCAATGACTTTTCTCATTATTCGGCTGAGTCGAATGAGTCGGCATTACACAGATGTTTAAAATTTCGCACAGATCTATTGAATCCTTAGCTTCTCCTTAGACTAGTTTTCACAGGGATCGATCTGTTTTACTTTGCTGTTGACGGTTTTCACCACTACTGTTATCGTTCGTCAATGTATTTAGCAAAACTAAGACTTTAGTAAAACTAAATCACACTGTACTTTTTTTCTACGATAATGCTTATATTAAGAAAATGTAATTCTCTACAATGAATTATAACCAATCACATTGCATGTATCGTTTTTATTAAAAGTCCAGATAATCGCAACAATTAACCGTAAACAGCAAGGATCCGAGTGAAAATGGATCAACTACTCGCCTCATGCTCAGCCGTTGGATGGAATTCCTCCTTATAATATTTCAATCTGTTGTCTTGATTGTTTTTATTTACTTTGTATCAATAAACTAATCGGTCAGAGTTTCTCCGTTTAATGACTTTAACTTTCCAAGCTTTTCTTCTTTTCAGTGGGATTTTGGGCACAGGACAGTTAAGAATTAGATTCAATGATACTAAAATGTTTATTATGAGGCTGAGCATACGAACAGCAGCCCAACATAACACTTAACATTGCTGAAATGACAATTTAAATAAGCAACTTTTACATTTTGTTCTTTTCCCGGTAGGTATTCTTTTTGATGCTCATTATTAATTTGTTTGTGAGTTCAATCGATTATCTTTTTTAGATTGATAGCCATGAGACTGGTTATCAAAGATACTTCTGACGATGTCTCGTTGTGGTCAGCACTGTATGTGAAAGCTAGAATTTTGGAAGCCAAACCTGACCACAGAAAATACTTTGTTTTGGGACTACCAACTGGTGGTACTCCCAAAGGCATGTACCTGGAACTTGTCAAGATGTGCAAGGCTGGGGAACTTAGTTTCAAGTATGTAAAAACGTTCAACATGGACGAGTATGTCGGTTTGGACAGAGATCACCCAGAAAGTTACCATTCCTTCATGTGGGAAAATCTTTTCAAGCACATCGACATTCATCCTGACAATGTCAATATTCTGGATGGCAATGCTGAAAATTTAGTCGAAGAATGTAATGGTTTTGAAAAAAAGATTGTTGAAGCCGGTGGAATTGATTTGTTCATTGGTGGGATTGGTCCTGATGGACACATTGCCTTTAATGAGCCTGGCTCTAGTCTTGTTTCAAAAACACGTGTCAAAACCCTGAATAAGGAGACCATAGTCGCAAACTCCCGGTTTTTTGGTGGCAGAGAATGTGACGTCCCAACCCAGGCTTTAACAGTGGGTGTACAAACTATTCTTGATGCTAGAGAAGTGATGATCCTCATCACAGGTTCTCATAAAGCTCTGGCTCTGCACTATGCGATAGAAGAGGGCATTAACCACATGTGGACCGTAACTGCTCTGCAACAACACCCAAAGGCTGTATTTGTGTGCGATGAGGATGCCACTCTAGAGTTGAAAGTGAAAACTGTGAAGTACTTCAAGGATCTGATGACATTGCACGACAAATCTATAACACCTAATCTAGGTTAACTGTAGTTGACATTTAAGTGGGAAAATAAACCTTGACCAACCATTTGCATTGCATAGTAGGATATTAGATAGATTTTTATTATATCTTTAATTGTTAGGCCATGGACTTGGGATTGCATGTTTTTTTGTTGGTTGACTTTTCCTAACCAACAGAAGAAAAAAATTTACCCAATACCCATATTATTAATTGGAACATTAATTCGTGTTTGATGTGACCAAACATTACATAGTTAGATATTAGATAGATTTTTATTATATTTCTAATTGATAGGCCATGGACTTGGGATTGCATGTTTTTTGATGGTTGACTTTTTCTGACCAACAAAAGTTTTTTTTAAATTTTTAGATTTTGTGAATTTATCTTTATCGTTCCTGTGTCAATTAATTTATTATTACATCACACTCAATTATTCGAGTTCAAATTACTTTAGTATGTAGAATTTTCCGACTTAAGGAATTATTATGTTATTTTTTAAACTAAATTTTTATACATCATTAGCTTGGTTTCACTCTCACCATAAATGATAATAATCATGATCTGGATCTAGTGTTATGCTTTAGAAAGTATTCGATCACATTTCATTGATATTGATCTTTAAATTATATCTCATTGAACACAGCATTTCTGCCATAATAACAATACGTGATTCTTTGTCAGTAAGGTTACATTTCCTCAAATTAACAACCGAACATCTTTGTAGCTGATGTGAATCTGCTGACTTGAACCCTGAACTCTGAACCCTGAACCTCCCCACACACACAACAACTTGTTCTGGATGATCTGGCTGCTAACGGTTCTTATATCATGTTTAACTGCATCTGCTCAGATATGTAATGTGACATTGCAAGTCGGCAAGGTTATCCAACCTAAACCCAGTGTGCTTAACGGAGCCACATTCCTATCTCATTTACACACTGATACTAAGGAACTGTGCCAAAAAGGTGAGTCATGAAATATAATACTGTATTTTTACTAGCTGTGATGGTTTTAATCTCATGGAAACTTTTCTAAACAGACAGTATGTTTCTCAGTGTAGTAGAATACGATTCTATTGCTTAATGATATTTGAAACTCCATATTTTCCAGAATGCTGCAACGATGAAAGGTGCGATACAGTCTTATACACAGACTCCAAAGTAGGCCCAAAAGGAAACAACTGTTTCTATTTCGACTGCCTGGACCACTGTGTCTTTCGAGACTCAACTCCAGAAGAGAGTAATTTCTCTGTCGCAATCATTTCACGATCAACCGCTCCCCAAGAATTACCAGGTAGAATCTGGAGAATATTCTATTGTCTTACTTTATTTTGTTCATACATGCACAAAGTGCACAATACACTTAATTTGTTCTATTTAGATATTTCAACATATTTCATTATGACAATACGTTTTGATAATCATTTCCTCAGATTTTTCTAACATATTTGTGAGCTCCGGACCGGATGTAGTGAATCATGCTGATAATGCGACTGAGAGCCATCAAGGTTAGTCGATCTGTACTAGTTATCAAAATCTCTACCGCTAAAAGTTATATTTCCATCTGGACATAAAAACTTAGTTTGAGTGGTTATCACAAAACACCGCATACTTAATAAAATACTTTTCAGCAGCTGATTCTCCTGTTGAACCACAGAAAAGTTCTACTCCAGCCAGTGATGTGAAAGCTGACGAGGAAAAAGTACAGCCTGATACTTCCGCTCCATTAGAACAACAACAACCTGAAAGTCAATCAGCAGAACCTGTAGCAGAACCTGTAGCAAAAATCCCCGATTCTCCTTCGGAAATTCCGGAATCTCAGGTCAAAACCCCAGATGCTACGGTAAAACCCGAAGTTTCTGCAACCTCCAAAGTCGAAACCGCAAAGAACAACACAGTAGACGCGAAAGAGGTACAGAAAGAAGCCGAGCAGACCGAACCAACCCAATCTTCATCCCCAGACACCAACGCTGTCACAGTGAAAAACAACGACGAGAAGCCAGACATTCCTGACACGATTCAGAAAGCTGTTCCCAAACCAGCCACAGCAAAACCTGACGATGTTGTAACAGAGAAGGAAGAAGTGACTCCTACTGAAAAAGCGAAACTCCCTAACGAAGTTCCTGTTGTTGAAGGTAAAGTGGAGGTTAATACAGATGTGAAGGTGAATGGGACGGTGAGTAAAGCGAGCACTTCTGAGGAGGACCAGAGTAAAACTGTGATCGGGCAGGAGAAACAACCTGCAGTTGTCGTGGTTGATAAGCCTGAGGAAACTAAGAAAAAATCCGACGAATCTATGCCAGCAGCTAACGTTAGGTAAGAATTACCATTTATTAATTGCTGGTTATAAGAAGATCTGTTATCTTTTTCCAATCTTTGAATTTTAATATTTTACAATTTTCATGACTGCATCTTTCAATTATTCATGTTTCGTGGTTTGTACTTATCAAAAAATAAGCATTTAATCTTGATCTGGAAATTGGTGTGCTATGTTTATACAATGTACAATATGTACAATATGTACAATGTACACAGACAGTTTCTGTCTATACAGAAAAATACATATAATTGTATCTCATTTCTTATAATATTCAGTATCACATGTCTAACCACTAACTAGTAACCGCTAACCACTATCCTCCCCACCTTCCCACAGTGTCGAGGTAGATATCCACACTATCCAGACTAAACAACCTGACACCTACACAAAGAAAGATGTTATGTTTTGGGTTTCCGTTGTCGGCGGCTCAACTCTCATCGTCCTCGGTCTTGGTCTCGTCGTTCGTTACTATGGAAACAAGAGGAGACGCCTCTACTCCTCCCTTACTGACGATTACCTTATCAATGGAATGTACAGTATCTAGATGTGCGGATATTTTATCATGTTTCCATGGTTACCGGACTTTAAGTTCGCTCCTTGTCTTGTTCATTTGTATTTATCTTGTGGAACTGCGGTCATATTCTTCAGAGTAGATGAAAACTTACAGTTTAATTTATAATTCAGATAATTAGATATATGCTGGCCAATCATTTTATTCAGCAAATATAGATATAGTTGTATCAGTTCATGGTTAACTGTTTAATATTGCATTGTTCATGTATAATATATATATGAAATCAATCGACCTTTTAAAGGAAGAACGATTTGTAAATTGATCGTTTTACGAAATATTTTAACCATTTCAAAAATCAAAAAAAAACTTGTAAAAAGTGATACATTTTTATTCTTAATTAACACTTAATTAATAGTAAAATATTGCGATGTTTCATGGGCTGCTGAATGTAAATACGTAGCATTGCCAGCGGAGAATTGTTTATTTTGCCACCATTTGTTGATAATTAAGTAATAATTCGATGATTAAGTGATAATTCGATCAGAGTAAATTAATAATAATTATTAAGTATTGGTATATTTAACTAAATTATGAATGAATAAGACTCTTAACTTTAACTTCCTCAAATTGCTTAACATTTTGTTTGATGTATTTACTTCTTTTTCCTTATAGTTTACAGCTCGGCTAGAAATGCGATGGTAGAGTGTTATCTTTTGTTTGTTTGAATGAATTTAAAATCTTGTTTTAATGTAAAAGCTCTTCATTTTCTTTACTTCAACTATCAGAATGGTTTGCATTGATCCAAGTTAAGTGAGACTCACGAGTCAGGATGTAATTTGAACGGTCACGCAAATAAAAAATGGCTACCAATCACCATGACAATTGACAATTAAGCAACATAAAATAAAACTCCTGTACTATTTATAACTCTAGTCGTTCTCAATGTTCACATCTTAACCACACTCTGACCAGATGATGAGATCACTACTCTGGTAACTCCAGTAGTGACTGTAGTGACTGTAGTGACTGTAGTGACTGTAGTGACTGTAGTGACTGTAGTCACCAGAGGAGCAGTGAGGACATGGCTCCGGATCCTCTGCGGAGTAAGATTGTGAAGACATTCAGATTACATGGGTTATCCTTGAGGAGCGAGGGGAGCACCTACCTTCAGGTGAATTAAATCATTTTCATTCGTTACATAGTAAGGTCAGATGAAATATCAGCTTTTTCACGATACATCAGTCGAAGTTGTTGCAGAGCTATGGTTTTTTTTTTCAGAGACGAAGAATTTTATGTTGAAAATGTATAACTTTGATTATCTATGCCACTCTCTAAATTCCACACTTCTTCAGTCACTGCTGCGAGAATCAGATCACTCCGAAGCGGATGAAGCATTATCTCGTATTATAGACGTGTTAAGTAACCTCAACCTTCCCTCCCCAGTTGTGGACAAATCAGTACTCGAGTCTGCTGTTTCAGAGTGTAATGACGATGTTCAGCCTGAGAACTCAGACAAGGTGATGACTCGTTTTCACGTGTAGAGAATAAAATTAACTTAGATCGAAATACACTGTCATAATCATATTAGAAGACTGCCACAAAAGCTCACGCCCCTCCTCTACTCAGATGTTTAATGTGATAGACGTATTTGAAGCTCCCCGGCACAAATACAACTACGAACGTAAGAAGCTCCTCCTGGACACGTCCCCTAAATCCCTATTTGGCTGTGCTGCCGACAAGACGCGCATCACAAAGGACCGGTACTGGCTAATCATGCAGAGGATCGAGCGACACGACCTGTTTACGCCGCCAGTACCGGGCGCTATTAGTCAGAGTCACAAGTTTGATCTGCAGACGGTGGAGCAAGTGTTGGGGCAGCAGGGCGAGCATAAACACACTATTGTCATGGCTATGTTAGTGCAGATCGAGGAGGGCAAGTGAGTTATTAGTACTTATATTAGACATATTACACATATTACACATATTACACATATTACACATATTACACATCACACTCTTACACTAAACTTGTTGGTTTATTAATCATCATTTAATGCTCGTGATGATTATACATACTTTACGTATATATATCTAAAGGTGTGCAATTAGAAACCAACAATTTCCTCCTATTATGATCTTTTATTACGCCAATTTAAACATTAGCTCGATATTTTCATTCTCAACCTGTCCAACAACTTTTATTCTGCTCACACAATCAAAAGCTCTCACTCTCACTCTCAACCTGGATGTTTCTAAAATTATATTTCCAGTGTAACTAAAAGCACCCTCAATATTCAGGTATTTTCTAGAAGATGCCTCGTCCCACATGCTGTGCGACCTGAGTGCTGCTAAATTCCACGTAGGAATGTTCACTGAGAACACCTTCGTTCTAGCTGAGGGTTCTTACGACGATGTTAAGAATGTGTTCAAGGTATCAGGAGTGGGGCTGCCACCCCCAGAACCCCCCAGAATCACCAGGAACTACTTTGGGAGCACAAACTTCTTCGGAGGTCCCTCCACGGCCAGTGTGGGGAGTATTCAGCTGCTGAGGGACATGGAGCGGGAGAAGCAGGATGCTATGTTTGTCTTCGTATCAGGTTAGATACAGATTAGAGAAATTGAGTGCAGGTTAGATACAGATTAGAGAACTTGAGTGCATGTTCTCTTTTAGAAAGTGCAATAATTTGATAACACGTATCTAATTAAACGATAATTTCACATGAGATGTACCACTGCACTGTACACTGTACACAGTACACTGTATAATGTATATAATGTTTGTTAAGTACATGATCTGAACTATCTACAATGAGGCCCAATTATTTTTCTTTGAAGTTTCTTTGTCTTGATCATAGTTACACAATGCACCTGTTCAACTGGTGTACATTTACACCGTTTGCTGCTTTATTAGGTCAACTTATAAGCTCTTTTGTCTCAAGGTTGAATATCTTGACAATAGAAATTGTTAGGTATTCAAAAACTCTCCAATCACAACAAGAATATTAAAAGCCTCGAATTCCGTATTTCAATACTGCGCTATTTTCAGATGTTTGGTTAGACCAACCCTCAGTTTTGAGCAAGCTGAAGACTATGTTTACTGGATACAGCAAGGTCCCGCCCTTTGCTTTTGTCTTCTTCGGTAACTTCACCTCTGGACAATCACATAAGAACACTGTCAGTAAGGTAAGCAATACTAAAGATATGAAGCACTTAACGATGGTAGCATCACTTCATATCACTTAAAGCAAGGAAGCAAGCCACCATGGTCCTTTAAATAAGTAACACGTGATTAATAACATCATGTATCATATCTACACACTTTCTAACTCTAAATTAACCTCAGATGAAGGCAGGATTTAAGGCTCTAGCAGACATGTTGTCCTCTGTTCCCCTCTCTATGTTCAGACTCCTACTTCCTCTTCGTCCCCGGTCCTCAGGATCCAGGCCCTGGTCCGGTCCTCCCCCGCCCTCCTCTCCCCGCCTCTATTGTGGAGCCCGTCACCAAGAAACTAGCACGTGCCCGCATGTGTTCTAACCCTGCACGTGTCCAGTATTGTAGTCAGGAAATGGTGTTGTTCAGGGAGAATCTAATTAACAAGATGTGCAGACATTGTATCAAGTTTCCGCTGCGCAGCGAGGAATTGCACGTGCATTTAGCGAAGACACTGCTGTCACAAGGACATCTGGCGCCGTTACCGCTACACGCCATGCCCGTGTACTGGTCACATGACCATGCCCTCAGACTCTACCCAATACCGGATGTAGTGGTGGTAGCTGATAAGTATGATGCGTTTAGCGTGTCAGCTACTGACTGTCTCATCTTCAACCCTGGCAGCTTTCCTAAAAGTAATTTCAGTTTTAAAGTGTATTTGCCTGCTCAGAAAAAGATTGAAAACTGTGAAATTTCAACGTAGATTTTACAAACCTTTTTACATTTTGATTATGTTTTTAAAGCTTTTAGTTGCCATGTTGTATTTGAAGTTCTATCATATAAATTATTTCTAAATTATATAATCATTTCTAATTTACTGTCAACATGACTATTATGATAATTCATTTCAACTGCACTCGTTTTATTTTAATTTCAAAACATAATACTTTAGCTTTAGTACGTGCTAATTTCTTTTCAGTGCATAAATAATCGTCAATCTTATCAATCAATCAATCCAAATTAGCTCCCTTCAATTCTCATCAACTAATTAATCCAAACTTATTAACTAATTAATCCAAACTAAGCCCAGTTAATACTAAATCCATCCAGGTCAGTATGCCGGCTGATGGACCTGCAGTTAGCGATGATTCTCACATCTCCTTCGCGAAGCGCTTGGCACACAACAACAAGGACACGCGGGAATCTGCGCTGAAGAAAGTGAAACGTTGGCTGGTTACCAAAAGCAAACAAGGGACCCTGGACCACGACGAAATCATCAAGATATGGAAAGGTCTGCATTACTCGATGTGGTACAGCGACAAACCTCTCACTCAGCAAACCCTTGCACTTGATATCTCTCAGATTGTATCTCTTCTACCGGATATCGACGATGGTATCAGTTTTTTCGGTGGGTTTTGTGAGACGATCGCCCGTGAGTGGGTCGGGATTGATCGTCACAGACTGGACAAATTTTACATGTTTATCAAAACAGCGCTGAAATGTGTAATGGAATTCTGTAAAGAAAACAATTGGGATGATACGATTGTAAGCAATGTGGTGGATACCCTTGATATCAGGATCATCAACTCACAATCTCAGTGCCCTGATTCCATCTCCGTTTTTATCTCAGAACATTTATACCCAATCTACTCAGCAATTTGTAATGACTCAACGTCTCCTCTTTTCATCACTGAGATGCTCTTGTGTTATGTCACTGCTCTGTCCAAAACACCCAAGAAAGATCTCAGTCGTGTTTTCATGGAAAATCTTTTCAGCCCGATAATTTATAAATCTATCAGTTTTAAAGTTGATCACGAGCAGTTGACTTCTTTTATCACCACAATTGCTATTCAACCAGATATTTTGACGAGAAACCGAAAGTTGCTATATAAGCTTCGTAATGATATTGCAACAGCCGGCGGGGTAGATTTATCCAGTTCTTCTCCCCTTGGCAAACACAAACTGGAGAATGTCAACGACGAGAATGTAAGTTCCAATAGTCCAGATGGGGCTGAAGTTGGTGATGAGGTTAAACCACCAAAGAAGAAGAAAAAGAAGAAAGTGAAACAAGCTGTCGAGGAAAGTATTGCTGACATAACTGAGGAGAATGGAGCAGAAAGTAGTGATACTAAAGTTGAGGAAGCTGCCGCATCTGTCAGTGAAATAGTAGATCAGGGTGAAAAAGAAACTATTCCTGTAAATGAGCCAGAAGCAGAATCTGCAACTGTTGAAGTTGATCAGAATAACACTGAAGATGTTGAGGAAGCTGAAGATGAGCCGATGGAAACAGAAACACATGTTTCTGAACCAGACTCTGTTGTGATCCCCGTTACTGAAGTAGAGTTTGCAGTTCCCACTGTGGTAGAAGAAGCTCCGGTGGTCTCTAATGGTGGAGTTGAGGATGATAGTGCAATTAATGATGCAGCTGTCATAAGCGAACAAGTTGTTGATGACGTTAAAGAAGTCGTTGATGATACCGTCGCAAGAGAAATGGATAATAAGACTTCAGAAGATGGCCAAGAAACTGTTGTTGAAGACGATACCAAAGATGACAGTAACGATACCGGCGGGGATGTAATGGCTGCCGATGAAAGGAAGAATCCGTGGAACAGACTGTTGACTTAACAGACGAAACGGTCATCGCTCCAGCAGTAATGGATACAAAAGATGAGATTGAGCCATCACTTACCCAGCCCGAGTTGGAGGTTCCAGCCAAGAAAACTGAAAAACGAAAGTCTACCAAAGGTAAGAAAACACCAAAGAAAACACCAAAGAAGCAGCCCCTGGAACCTGCTGGACCTGCTGAGAACGAAATCACCGTAGAATTGGAACAACCTTCAGTGGAGAATGGTCAGGAAGTTGCTTTACCCTCAGACGAAACACCAGCCAAGAAAACTGAAAAACGAAAGTCTACCAAAGGTAAGAAAACTCCAAAGAAAACACCAAAGAAGCAGCCCCTGGAAGCTGCTGAGCCTGCTGAGAACGAAGTCACCGCAGAATTGGAACAACCTTCAGTGGAGAATGGTCAGGAAGTTGCTTTACCTTCAGACGAAACAGGTGCAGTATCACCATCTCCAAAAGGAACAAGGACAGCAGCTTCACTTCGCAAGAGAAAGAAGAAGTCAATCTGTCAAACACCTACCCCTGAATCACCCTCAACCCCCATCGCAGATCCACCCTCAACTAAGAAGAAAGTGAGGCTGTCAATGGAGAACAACCAAACGTTTTTCTTCAAGAAAAATACATCCTTGGAGAGCCCTAAACCATTCGACAGCACAAGAACGCCACTGAAAGGTGTTTTGAAGATGTCCCCTGCTCTAACTCGATCACAAGCCAGAAAGAAAGGAAAATCTAGGGTTAAACCTTGACCTGTTGCAAGTTATTCACACCGAATACCTATTGCGACATATTTATTTACCCCGGGATCTTTTTAGTAAAGCCTTAAACGCTTTACAGTCTTTTTATCATTGTTTTGTATTGATTCTAAATGATGTTTGTGGCTAATTATATACAGTAAAGTTTTAACTTATTAATTTTATCACTTCAAACTCTCGTTTGTGTAATTACGAAATTTAGCACATTCTACACAGAGACCTCATTTTCAATAAACGTGGGACAAAATTATAAAAGTACTTCAGATACTAGCAAACTTCTACGTTTCTCTTGTAAGAACTTTAAAACCTCGCGCGCACGCGTGTTCTTTTCTCTTAAATTATGCCACATGATTCGAATAATACACTGGAAAATATATGACAATTCAAATCAATCCGGATGATTGAAAAACAACCTATCTTGCAGGATGGCAGATTATCAAAGCGGCGATACGCAAGTTGAGCAACAGGGCTACGATGACCAGCAGGGCCAATATGGTCAGGAATCGTACGATCAGCAGGATCAGTCCTACACTCCGCAAGAATCCTACACAGAACAGAAGGAGAGTAGCTACCCAGAGGAAAATTCGGGAGGTTATCAGAATCAAAACACGCCGTAAGTTTGTCGCGAAACACGATTTATATCAGCTTTCCATTTTATGTGGCTCCCAGCCCGGCCCTCTCCTCTTAAAGAAGAAACGTAAAATTAAACAAATTAGGTGATTTTAGAGAATACGCTGGTAAAATTTTAATAGCACTTTAGAGTTCAGTTTTTCAAAATGTTCCCACATTCAAACGACGATTTGGCGCCCCCCGCACAGCGCCCCCCTTCGTTACGCCACTGCTGACTTCGAATACTGCTATTGGATTCATCAATCTTTCGGTTTTCGTTTAAACTGACTTGTTTAGTATTGGTATGCAATTATGTATCTAAAGTGATTTTGTTTCAGGTACAATGGTGGTAACCAAGGTACCAGAGGACGCGGCCGTGGCCGTGGTGACTCCAGAGGGGGAGGTTTCCGGGGGAATTCCCGTGGAAGAGGCAGTTCTTTTGGTCGTGGCGGCGGTTCATTTGGTCGTGGAAGTGGGGGTGGGGGTGGGGGTGGGCGCGGTGGTAGCGCACCTCGTGGAGGCGGTGGTGGAGGATTCACGGCTCAGAAGCGCAGTTATCAACAAGACGAATACCAAGGCAACATGACCGGGTCTATAGAATTCGTGAAGAAGAGGAAAGTTAACGATAACGTTTACAGAATACTTGTTCCTGTTCGCAGTGTCAAATCAATCATAGGCCCCGTGAGTTCACTTGTGCTATTTCTCATTATGTTTATGATACTCTCATATTCGACCTCTAATTTTCAATGCAACTCAGTCTTATTATACCAATTTATTGACATAGTTTTAATTTCAGGGTGGCCAAAACATAAAACAGCTGAAAGAAGCAGCCGGTGAAGGATGCAAAATCTCTATTTATACCCAAGGAGTAAGTTTTAATGTGAATTTAATGATTTGACAAATAATCTCGAAAAGATATGAGGATTGAAATTGACCTGTAACACCTTGTAATTTTCAGCACCTGCCGTTTGAGTCATCGGCCCAACTGTCTTCCTAAATTCAACTTCATATAACAAAACCTATTTGTCTTACAGTTATTAAGTCGATACTTCCCAACTTTAAAGAGTACTTACTATACATTGAATTTGGGTGATAAATCAAATTATCTAATAATATAAAAACTAGTCGTCTAGATACATTCTTAAAATTTAGATCTTGGCCGATACTCTTGGCATTCAAACCATCCGTTCTACTTACGAGATTTGCAAAATAAATATCTGAATTTGCGAAAAATTGGTAAATAGTCGTATAATACATAATTCTGAGCCCTTCCCATGACTGCAATCTAAACGAATGAAATTCCTGGCCTATTATATATATATTCAATCTTCATCTTAAATTTCGTTGTTAGTTGATAAGGAGACTAAAAACATAGCAATTTGAATGATAGTGTATACTGACTTTAACATGAATGTATGTACCTATAAATGCCTGTAAATATGAAGAATTAGTTATAATAAAGAAATCGACCGTTAAAATTCAAAATTTGAAAGACTATGTAGATGGTATAAACTTTCAATAATTTTACAGGTTGCCTGGTTGCAGCCATGACAACTTAATTAAGATAACAAACGAAATGTGTACTAACAAAATCTTTCCAAAGCTTTGCCTCAAAGAGGCTCAAACCCCCGAAATCTCGATGAAATGCTGAAATGTGTTGATGAAAAATGAGAAAAACTGAAAACTAACAAAACGTTTTCCTGTCTAGACAAACAAAGTACCACTGCCTGAGGGTACTGCTGAACGGTAAGAGGAGAATTTCAACAATTGGTTATAAATTAATTCAATTCTATAATTGTTAGAAAGGGGCAACCAACTCTATAATTGTTCATGATTATGAAATAATTCGTATCCAAATTTAAGTAAACAATCGTGACCACTTTCACTGACGATTTGGGAAAACTGTACATCCTAGAGTACGTAAGACGGAAAATTTAATGCGTCGATGAATTTTGATAGTCTTTAAATTATAGTTCGTACGTTATATCAATCCCCAATCAATGACTCTAAAAATAATAAACAAATTGCTTTAAGTTTTTGCCATGATAAGAATAAAGAAAACAAATTTTGAGTTGGTTGCCTGCCCATTTTATAATTGTAATCAATAAAATATGTTTAATCTAAAAAACCAAATCGTAATACTGAAAAACATTCAATTATGCCAAATGAACAATAAAAATATTTAATGTAACAAGTTCAGAAATGCAAAATACCTAAAAATATGTGTAAAATCCGCAACCTAAAAATCATTTAAACTGCTATTATTCATCGCCTAAATTCTATTTCCATTTAGCGTTGTTAGTATCGAAGGAAGCCCTGAGCAGCTCAAGATCTGTTTGAACGAGGTCGTCAAGAATGTGCAAGCGGTAAGTTCCAAGACTATACGGTGTATACTGTATAGTGTATACCTCTTAACGTTTCCCTGAATTAGTGTTTTGGACGCAAGTCATAGTTTTTGATAATTTTCATCTTGAAAGCCAACAGTGTTAAAAAATGGTGGGCCCCCCCCCCCCCCCCCCCCCCCCCTTAAAAAATGGTGGCACCACAACTTTAAACAACTTTAAAATCTTAAAACCATAATTTTCAGGCACCGTTTGACAGGTACAGAGGAAAGTTCATCTTGAAGTTGATGGTACCAGAACATACGTGCAGTATTGTTATCGGGCCTAAGGGAGCAAATACCAAGAAAATCAGAGAGGTAAGATAAAAAATATCTGTAAACTGATGACCAACTGTTTTTTATTTTGTTTTAAATGGTTTTCTTTCCAGACTATTTTTCAAGTCGTGTCTGTGTATGGCATTATTGGAGGCCGCGCCGGAGGGGGTTGACTAAGATTTACATATAATGCAATTTTATACAATTTTATTAAATTCACGGCATCACGACTAAATTTTTCGCGAGTTCGATAATAAATACTGTAACAGTCACACTCTCCAAATAAAAGGCAAAATCTGAAACAGTGAAACATGTCCTAAAGATGGTGATAGAAAAGTACAAACAAATCCCAGTTACAAAATCACGTGAACTCAAAATTGGAATTCATTTTTTTAAAACGCTGGATCTTATTTTAATATGGACTGCAGGATGAAACGCCGCTCAAACCCACCCCCGCTGCTTCACAGTTCTCTTCATGTAGTAGGACAGCCCTTTTTGGCCTGCTTATCCTCGCACGGAAGCCTTGAATTATTTTGGATTGGAACAGTTTTTTGATTTATTCATCTGCAAAACGTTTCAGTTTGTTTGAAACATCAAATCTCCAATCCTTTAAGAAGGTCTTTACTAGTGATATCTAGGTTAAAGTAGACTTTTATCGGCAGTGACATAAAAAGGGGGAACCTTAGTCAGGAGTAAAATTTAGTCAGGAGGAAAATTTAGTCAGGAGGAAAATTTAGTCAAGAGGAAAATTTAGTCGCCAGTTCATGGTATATAAACTTTCCATCCTTACCATATGCAAGCCCACATGTTGGTTCTGAGTCGTACACAAAGTCTCCGTACTTATAGGTGTTACAAGTTATCGTTTTGCTGCCAGTGTTGATCCAACCATCCTGACACAACACAGTTATTGTGGTACCCGTATCCACTGGAAACTTTGTCTCTGTCGTCACTCTAGTCCAGCCATCGGGTAATCCAGTGCAAACTATAAAATAGGTTCATTATCATAACTGATTATATAACTGAGAGGACCCCGTGCTCAATGTACCTTTTTTTCTTCATAATTGATAACATGGGTTCAAGGGAATTTCCTTACCTTCAATTAGTTGCCTATATGCATCTGAAGCGCTATCAAGAGTTCCAAATTTGAAGTGTGCGAAATCCAAAGACCACATTGTTCTGCACTTAACTTTAGATGATTCTGCGATATTTAAGTCGAATATCTCTAGTCCATTGCAGCTAAGTTGAAGTCTGCTGCTTTTCATTCTGATCGTCCAAATTCTAAATTCCTCCGCACAGGGCATGGTGAAACTGATTAATTTAGGGGTACAGAGGCCAATGATATATTCCGGGGGATTGTTAAAATTAACTGTTATCCCTGGACCGTGGTCAGAATTTAACTCAACAAATCGCACCCAGAGGGTATCTCCACTTCCAACCACAGAGTTAGTATGAACTTGTAGCGGAGCAGAATAAATGTCAAAATCGATGTTGGTGTCTCGAGGTCCACAAGCAGTCCAACCTGTAAACATTTATTGTTCAAATTTCAACTCTATAGAAGTCCTGCCAATATATGACAGGGAGTAAAGTCAAATATAATCTTGGTGAATCAGGACATAAAGGTCAGAGGAACATTATCTCACCTGATATTTGTGAAGCGAGAAACCATTGTAAAATAGACAGTAATATGAAAATTTTCATCCTGCAACGTGGTAATATTAAGCTAAAGTGACAAGAGTTGCCATCAGTTGAAAAACAGGGCCACAAATTGAGTCCAGAAAGATCCGTTGACACAAGTAATCATCAATATTTTTACTCTCTTGAAACAAACAGATGAGAATCAGGACATTTACTTTGCCCTTTGCAATCACGGAACGCGTGACTATAAATAGGTAATACGTCAGACAATGCCGCCAAAAACCGTCGTTTGGTGGTCAGTACAGCTGGTTGCAATTAGGAACCGACCGGTGTAGGGGTTTAGACTGCCGTACCGGAAACGGCCGGATATCAATATATTTTCCGGACCGGAATCAGGTGTTAAGAAAAGGAAATTTGAGGCTGCCAAAAATTGCCAGAAAATTGAAATTAATCCTTATTTGTGGGCTTTTTTCAATTATAACATTAAAAAAGCCATGTGGATTAACACAATAAGACCGTGTTTAAAGTCCGACTTACTGTGTTTATACTCAGCTCTATCAGAGGTAACTGGTTGTTTTGCTGTATGATCAGAGCTAGAAACGAGTTGGATTCAAATGAAAACGCATATTTCAAGAGTTCACCGCGCCATTCGTAACTAAAATATAGATAAGAGGTTCTTCTAGAAATAAAACCAAAAACCCGGCTCTCACATATTCGTGGCGTCGACATAACCGAGGATAATGTCCTCTGCTTGCGATTGTTTTGTCATTGGTCTGGGTACCTGCTTTGACTCCTTTCTTTGTGTTACAAAAGAAAAACTCACATAAACGGGTCTATAGCATTGGCTGACAGATTACAAGCTACTATGAATTAACTGAGACCATGCTGACTAGATGCAGCTCAACAAGGATTATGCTGGACCAGGATGGTCCTACTCATAACATCTTTGGGAGAAAGAGAGAGGGAGAGTGCGACTAATGGTTCCGTCTGAGTTACGATGCGACTAGATCATTTACCTCCTTTCGCTGGATGCCACATAATCTTTAAAAGCACAATAACATTACATTCAGCTGATGATGCTGTTGCTTAGAGGCGGTGGCTACTGTTCTTGGTTCCTAAGGGATGACGAGAAATAAGAGGTCTGGATTGCCCCAGGGTCATTAATATCCTTATAACTGCATGTACCCGTAATATCCTTTTGCTATAGGAGTGATAGTCTATCATCAGTCACTTAGTCGTTAGCAACCGAGAGCTCAGCATGAGGTCTTAGTGACAAGGCTACTTACTTAACAAAGCCCTAAATATCGTGGGTGTAATCAAATCGGGTTTTCTCTATACTAGCCATGACAAAAATAACGACATTTTTGACACAATACCGAAAATGGTGAAACAAATTTCAGTAGACAGTAGATGTTGTCCTTGACAAATTTCTTTCCTGTTAGATTATATCTTGGTTAAGGAATAGTTTGAAAAAGAGCATAAATGTACCAAATTCATGCCAGTGCTTTACTTGCTCTTTCTCACCATCAGTCGCGCAAAAGAAATGTCTGTTAGAATGTGTTTCAAAAATTTAATACACCCGAGTCTGAAGGTTCGTGAAACCTTCGGACTCCAGCTTAAGAAATATAAACTTTCCATCCTTACCATATGCAAGCCCACATGTTGGTTCTGAGTCGTACACAAAGTCTCCGTACTTATAGGTGTTACAAGTTATCGTTTTGCTGCCAGTGTTGATCCAACCATCCTGACACAACACAGTTATTGTGGTACCCGTATCCACTGGAAACTTTGTCTCTGTCGTCACTCTAGTCCAGCCATCGGGTAATCCAGTGCAAACTATAAAATTAAGAAGTTAGCTTGTCTACTGTTGGGGAGGTGATACCCGTGTATTTTGACCCGTGACTGCTATAATTACATTAATTGGATCTTCTAGTTGAATATGTAGATATATAAATTTCGCTGTGACAATAGCTTTCGTCAGAACCTCTAACTAAAAACGTACAAGTCACAATTATTACCTTTAGTGAGTTGTCTAAACATGTCCGAAGCTGTATCAGTGTTAGCATCTGTGCTCATAAATTTAATACGCGCAAAATCCCACGCCCACTTTGTTTTGCAGGTAATTTCTGATGATTCTTTAAAGTTATAGTCGAATAGTTCTACTCCATTACCATTAAGTTGCAACGTTTCGTTTTGCTTGCTGATCGTCCAAATTTTATGCTTATCAGCACCGGGCATAGTGAATTCAACATTCGAAATGTTACTGCACTGGCCAATTGAGTATGTCGGGGGATCATTAAACTTTATGTATATCCCTGGACCGTCGTCAGAATTGAATTTTACAAATCTAACCCACAGCAAATCACCACTTCCGACTACTGAGTCAGTCTGTATCTGTAACGGGCAAGATTGCAGGTCGAAATCAATGTTTGTGTTTCGAGTTCCAGCAGCAGTCCAGTCTGAAGGCAATAAATGAAATACAAATAAATTAGAGAAAGGTATTATAAGATCCTGCGTATCGAAAATAAAAATATCGTTTATTATTATTATTTATAAGCCGGTAATGATGGGTAGGTTTCGTCATGATCATAAACAAATTAACTTGTAGAATGAAGATTGAATAGTTTCCACGTGCCAAAATTATCCGGTGACACACTAACAATGAATGGCATGGGGTGACACAGAAAAAAACTTGTAATTTGTCAACACGATTGATGACATGAGACTCTGAGAGAAATTGCTTACCTTCGATTTGTTTTCTATAGGAATCTGAGGCTGTGTCAGCAGTTTCAAATTTAAAATGTGCGAAATCCAAAGACCATTTTGTTCTGCAGCCATCTCTAGATGCTTCTGCAAAGTTGAAATCGAGTATCTCTACTCCATTGCAGTTAAGTTGAAGTCTATTGTTTTCCATTCTAAATGTCCAAATTTGAATTTTCTCAGCATCGGGCATGTTGAAACTGATTGCATCTGATAAACAATAACCCATTTCGTATAACGGAGGATTTTCAAACTTTACGGCTAACCCTGGACCGTTGTCAGAATTTGACTCAACAAATCTAACCCACAGCACATCTCCACTTCCGACTACAGAGTCAGTCTGAATCTGTAGCGCGGAAGATTTTATATCGAAATCAATGTTTGTTCTTCGGGTTCCAGCAGCAATCCAATCTGAGAACAAAAACAGTTTACTATTTTGAATACTTACAGAAGCATTCGGTGCTCAATATTTGGTACACTATCTTATGAAAGGTATTGGAAGTAATGTTTAGGTTGGCGAGGTATGTAGAACATCGCCCTAATCATGGAACATTCGTCAAATATCTTAAATAAAGTTACCAGCTTACCATTTGATCGAACAAGGCTAATGAAAAGAAAAAGCAGCCACATTTCAAGCACTTTTTATCTGTTCTCAATACGACTCCGAAAACAAAAGTTTTAAAATGTTAACTATTAATTTTCTCTCAACAGCTACCAAATTACCCACAGTTATTATCGTAGCACGTGAATTTTGGCAGCTATAATTGACCAGTGACCTCTTAAACCAAGGTTTAAAACTCGTTTAATAGCTTGTAATTGTTCATTGCTAAGCAACTGCAGCTGTAACACGTGACACGTGCTCCAGAGTGCAAGTGTTACTCTGTTGTTGTTATAAATAGAGTCATTATAATTACTGAGCACTTATTGCGTAGCAAACTCCTGGAGTGCTCATAACACACGACGATTATTGGTCACTCGAAATCGACCCGTTAAGAATGCAATGTATGTGTGATGGTTGTTTCTGCGTATTTGTTACCTGTTACTAATTAATCAACAGGATCATAATGTTGATTGTATCGATAAAACATGGATTTAAGGCATAAGGAAGCATTGTTGGGTTCTGAAACCAAGTTTAATCGATTTCTCGTGCAATTTTAGGTTAGCTAGGGATGGTCATCAAAATAAGTTTATAACAATGTCGATACTTTGGTAAATTTCTAGCTTTCTGCCAGAAAATAAATTTTCGGTTTCTATAGGGCCATAGGGGGTAATTAGGTATAAACTACAGTACAGCTGTACTTATGTAATAATTGAAATTATTTGAGAAAGTTGAATAATCTCTGCGGTCGACCGATCGAATCGTGCCTGTCAAAACAGTTATTTGTCGTTTCATGATAAAACGTGGTTTCGACACAGCAAAAAAACAGTTTTTAAAGGGTGCATCTCAAAGATATGAGCCTAGCCAAACATACCCTGATACCCTTAAGTCTACGTTTCTTAGACACATATTTTCGATACATTACGTCTAGATCACACAACCTCCCATTAACAAATAACTCTTGTCCTCAGGAGACAGATACGATAGTCCAGTTGTTCAGAGATCCACTGCCTGCTTCAGGAGAACATGTCGTCAACCTCAAGAATCAAGATCACGAGAAGTTGGTCGAAGCTGCAATCGGCGTCTACGAGAACATTCAGGAGGTTAGTTTCTGGCATTCAAATCTTACCTATCCATATATTAATCTAGTAGTAATGCGACCTATGGTAAGATCATTGTGTTAAATGTTATTTCTGTCAATAACATATTATACAAACCTCGTGTTCTATGTTATTTCCTATACTTTTATTCTCCCAGGCTAAAAGTAAGAACAACATTCTACTCTACGAGCCTCATATGTGGACGCCTGGAGAGTTTGGAACCACTGGCAGCTTCCACGATGAGGAGTACGAAGTGTACACCCGTTACAACAACAACAACCAACAGCAACAACAACAACCCCAACAGTTCTACAACAACCAAGGCTACAGTGAGGATCAGACTTTCTATAACGACGACTACGCAGATGACCAGAGTTACTACAACGAGCAGGGAGCAGGGTACGGCAATCAGGGTGGGTACGAAGAGGAATACTCGGAGAGCTATCCAGATCAGGGCGGGTACCAAGATCAGGGGTATGAACAGCAGGCCCCACCAGTGCAGCAAGCACCCGCTCCTAGAGGGGGTCCGCGGGGCCGCGCTAGAGGTCCCTTGTTAGGATCCTCGCCGAGTAACAGAGGAGCGCCACGAGGCGGTGTTGGTAGTGGCACTCCCACCCAAAGAGGTGGTGCTCAGAGGGGTAGTAGTTTCAGTGGACGGGGCGCTTCTCAAGGACAGCAAGCACCGAGGGGAGGATTTGGAGGATCCCGAGGTGCTCCAAGAGGTGCTCCCAGAGGCGGCACCCAGCAAGGTGGCTTTGGTGGGTCTCGTGGTGGTGCAAGAGGAGGATTTGGTGCCCCTCGAGGTCGAGGTGGAGCACCAAGGGGGGCCAGTCGTGGAGGAGATAGAGGCCGTGGTAGAGGAGGAAACTGATTTGTCTGAGACAACAGAGACTAGAAGATGATGATGATGCTGCCATCCTTTTATCGACGTTTTTAGGAAACGAAATTTCAATTTTATTTATCATCTTAAAGTGTACGTAAATTGTGTCGTGTCACCGCCGAAGCAACATTCTTAAAGATGCTCAGAACGAAGCACTGCCAAGAAATGGTGTATATTTTGATATATGTATTAATTTAAACTTATTTTTCTTGAAACTTGATATTTTTATCTTGTACGAAAGCTGGTTTGTTTCTTGTTTTTACAATATCGCTAAACCTGAACAGTGAACTGGAACCTACCGCTCCTGATAATGATATTCATCATATCCCTGTTGTCTGATTCCCTTTCCTTCAAGCAACAAGTGCAAAGTGTGGATAAGTCTTCGAGGATTTTCTGAAAAATATTCGACCTGACCTTTGTATTTTACCTTCAAAACAAAACTAATACATAATAACTGTTGAAAAACCAGTATAGTTTTGCGCGTGCTCGAGAGATCTGACAGGTCCCTTGTACGACATGTTCACTGTCAGAGTGCGCGCAAGGCTATATTGGTTTAGCAACGACGAAGTGGGAGAATGACGCTGTCCATTATGATCAAGAGGGTCAATAAAAAGCTTTTAAATTTAGTAATCTACTAGATTAGAACTGGACCGCTTTGTGCAGGTCAGGTGCCTACATGTTTAATACCTAATCCCTATATTATAATACAATACTATACACGGAGCTGGTTTCGAGCTTAACTTCAGTGAGAAAAGCGAGCAATTAAATAGACTAGCAAGCTAATTAATAGATTAATCCGCTCAGCTCGAAATATTTAGCTCAGTTACCTTGTACTTGGCACCCTATTGCCTATGCGTGGCGCTCTTTCGATCCACTTGCACTCATCTTGACCATTGTTAATGGTCTGGCCTTACTGGGCGGCGCTCAGCCTGTCATTCCGCCGAATCTTCTCACAGCTAGATCGGCGAGATGCGCTACTGTGCCGCGCCGAGCTGCGATGAATTGACCTCGTCAATTAATGATTAACATCCGTCAAGCACTTCTGGCATATCCGTGAGGGAATCGAGCAATAGTGAATACAGAAAAGACTAACATTAACAAACTATGACTATGAGCTAAGTAACTATGAACTGGCGATGGTGTAATTATGAATTTAGTCCCAGCCTATACTATCCGCGGAGTTTCGTAGCACTTACTTCCCTCACTTGGACCCGCCGCGCACTTGACGGATGTTACTTATCGTCTAAATTTCTTCGAAGTAGCGCGCGCCGCTTTCTTCTCGAAATGTTGGCCCGATGGCAAGTGCAAAGTGCTACGAAGTAGTGCGCGCCGGGCCAGACCATTAACAATTAACAATGGTCAAGCCGCGCACAAGTGCGCGGCTATATCGTGACTTTCGAGCTATTTTACTAATTTGCTCGCCCAAAAATTTTACGTGGCTTTGGGCTTTGGTTTTTATTTGACGGATGTTACTCGTCTAAATTTCTTCGAAGTAGCGCGCGCCGCTATCTTCTCGAAATGTCCCGATGGCACGAGCTACGAAGTCAGAAGTAGCGTGCGCCGGGCCAGATCATTAACAATGGTCAAGTTTTTATGTGTTATGGTTTTGCAGCCGTACAAAATTTAAACGATTTTACATGAACCTTACTGGGCCGCGCTCAGCCTGTCATTCCGCCTAATCTCTATTATGTTAATGAACATAATAGCCTGGGGTCCTCAGGTAACATGAACCCTGACAAGATTCATCAAAAACCTACCTTTTGTCTGCTTTCAAATTCAAAAGTGATAGTTAACTTAACACTTAACAAGACTGACTGACAAAGCATATTGAACTAGTAACACAAGCCCTTTAAAGCTTGTATTGCTGGGGCTCCACTTATCGAAGCTTCTTCGCATCCTTTTCCGAATAAAAAACGAAACCAAATATGAAATAACAGATCTGAATGTCGATTAATTACTTAACGGTATTTATGATTTACTTGTATGTTTATAACCTACCAGGACGCGCGCCGAATAATTGGAACAAATATTTTACAAGTATCACCCGTTAAGTATTTACTTACTGACTTCGTAGCGCGATGCACTACTGGGCCGCGCGCATCCATTTCCAATAATGATTCTCGCAACCACCGTATGCAGATCGGCGAGATGCGAAGGATTGACATCGTGAATCAATTACTTACTCTGCTATCGTGTATCGTTGATTAACTTCAAGTATCAAGTACAGTATTTAATACAGCAGAGTCGATGACTGCTGATAATATTGAATATATGAAGCCAAAGTGCAAAGCGAGCGCAGAAACAAGAAATAGCGCGAAATTAAAATCTCCGCATACGGCGTATAATATGGTATAAAAGCTTTGTCATACTGCATAAGTTGTATTATGACCCGCCGTGCACGAGTGCACGGCTCCCCCAGTATCGTAAGAACGACCGTGGGGTCACGACGTGATACAAGTGATCAGCTCATCGATACGAAACTTTTAGTACTAATATTTTAAGATTTAAAAGACAACTATTTTCTAAATTTTTTAATCTGAACACAAGTGACAAGGCCCCTTGTATTTGAAATGTTGAACAAATTTTTGAAAAATTTGGTGTTTCAAATAATATAATTTTGGTGCCAAAAGTTGCATCTGACTAAGCTCATTACGAATACGATCCTGTAAGAATTATTTCAAAATATTCAATATTTTAGGAGTTATACTTATAGTGTACAGGCATTTTAAGCAATAAATTTGTATCACGTGGTGACCCCCACTGTCGCTTCACTATAGATAGTATACACTATAGATAGTATACACTATAGATAGTATACAGGGGGAGCCGCGCACGAAGTGCGCGGCGGGTCATACAACGTATGACAACAATAAATTACCCATTTTACGTCCTTTGTACACTCTTTCAATGCACAGGAGGCCCACTACACATATAATAGTAATACAGCTCGACGTTATCGCGCTACACGGTGAATTTTCATTATTCACAGTTAGAGGCAACTTAAAACTTTTGGTACCAAATTTATCAAAATCAGAGACAAACAATTCTGTGCCAACTCATGGCGCTTATTACATAGACTATAATGAAGATCTGCAGTGCACGGTGACCGCATCCTTTCCAATATAATGGTTGAATAGTTGCTCCATTACCGCAAGATGCGCGACCCTTTTCGCGTGCTTGAAAAGGGCATACAACGTGTGCTAATTGCTCCACGATGATTCTATTTAGTAGATTTCTCTAGCAGTCACCATCTCCCGAGCTACTAATTATGTTGAAGTTCGCAGTCGTTTGCTGATAGTGATAAATTCGATCTCGAACCTTCAGCGTCAACAAATCTGCATTAAACAGTTTAAACTTTAGGAATTATTTGTACGAAGTAAGAAAGCATTTAACATGGTTTAATGATAAAATTTGTACTTGATGATTGCTTAACGACCAGCAAGATTCTTCCATTTTAACTCCGACCGGCCGGTTCAACGACGCGTGATGGAACCGTTTACAACAGACGCGTTGGTTCCCATAAGTGGCAAAATCATATGCAAGGATGATAAGACCAAGTGTCTTATTCTTATGATTAAAATCGTAAGAAGAAGACCCGCATCATGCATTGCATCAGCGTCCAAAAGTTATCGTCCCGTGGTACACAAAATGTGTAGGAGTTTATGACAAATTGGAGTGATTAATCCGCCTCTGTTAGCATAGTGCCTTCAGCGTTGTTTTGAAAAGGGCCGGTCGGAGTTGACAAATTTTAGATTTCCTGTCACAAATTTTAGATTTCCTGTCACAAATATCTAGACAACAAATCACAGGATGTCAGAAGAAAGAAACGATTTGCATACATTAACCGATGGGTACAGCAAGCGCCGCTTCAAATTAATATTGCCCTCTGTCAAGTAAAACCTTGATCTTGAAAAGCCAAACCAAGTTGAGAAATAGATGTCATATCATAGAATTAGAAGCTTTCAATAATGTATAACTTCGAGTTGACTTGAACTTAAAAATTATTTAAGATCACAGTTAACCATATTTATAACGTGACACACCTGTGTTTCAATCATTAGGGCTAAAATATCAGATATGTCGATTCATAGATCTTGCTGGAGTGACGATGAGCGTTATTGCCATCCATCAGTATTTTGCAGCTTAAAAACTTAAGTATAGTGGATTCTGTAAAGAGCATGATCAGTAATTTAAAATTAAATTTTTAGGTACTACAAAACTATGATTATAAATACTAAGCTTTTAAACAACGATTTTGAATGCCTTAAGGAACGAAATCATAAAGTTAAGCTATTGCTAGCTTGTTCTTGTGACAATTTGAACTAGAAAATACCATCCACGGTCATCTAAAGTTTAAGCCGGTTATTTTAAAATAGTATCAAAATCCATAAAATAAATTACACAGCAGTAGCGAATGATGTAGGTTACCATGGCTTTTTTGAACCATCCGGTAACTTAAATATCCATAAGGGGCTCAATTATATATATGGAAAAATATATCGATCAATGATATGGCACACGTGCTGTGACGTCATCACACGTTCTGTGACGTCATCACACGTGCTGGCGGACAATCTTAAAAATTTAAAAATTGCAGTCCCTTTTGTGAAGATATATCCTGTCGTAAAGGATTCAATTGTAAATCATACAACAATATATAATACTAATGTATATCATACTATGTATTTTACTTCAAGAGTCCGTATCAGTTGACACGAGAAATAATTCCAGCTCGAGTAACATGAGTCCTATCCCAAAACAAGATATCATCCGTTACCATAACAACATGATATTATCTGCTGATAAACACCGGCCCCAAAGTGATCACAAACTTCAACATCGAACATAATATAACCGGAGGGAGAGAGAGGGGCGCAGAAGACAGGTCAGCCGCGCAACAAATATAGATAAACTTCATCCCACCACATATGAACAGTACGTGTGTCGGACATAGACCCAGCTGAGAGCTGCAACTTAAATACTCCGACTCACCCCACGTGACGTCATCAATTTCACATGACGTCATCAAACTCACGCGTGACCTCATCACCCTGACACAATATCACAGGAAGATGATTTCTCCTTACACGGACATGACGTGACAAGTGTTGGATAGAGAGGTAGGAATAGAGAGGGTAGTAATCTGAGCAAGGTGTAGATATAAGTGTAGTGAAGGATGGACCACGGCTCCCACTCATTGCGTGGGGAGTCGAGGGAGGAGGTCGAGGAGGTACTCGCGGAGCTGGCCACTTTGCCCACTGTGATCTCCCCCCGAACTCTTGTCAGCTTCCGAGTTCGAGCTAGCGCTGTTCTAGAAATATTGTGAGTTACTTTGTGTTAAACTTTTGGGGCTTATCAAAGGGTTCTGCTCGGCTCATTAAAGTGGGACTATATATATAGTATCACATAATTGTGAACTGAAGTGGGAGCCTTTTGAAAACCACACAATGAACCTTTTGTAGCGATCGTAAATGTAAAGCGTGCATACATTTATGTAAGATCATTTGTGTCACTGAGTGGGGGGGGGGGGGGGGGGGGGGGGGGGGGGGGGGGGGGGGGGGGGGGGGGGGGCAGGTATGAGGTAAAGAGAACTAAATAGTAAAATCATCCGAGCGCCACTACAGTATTAACATATCTAAATACATTCTAAATTACCTTACTCTAAACTCAATTATGACATTTAGTAGCCGCTTTAATTTTGTACAACCAGTTCACCAGTAAGTCAGCACCAAGCTTAACCGCGGCTACATTTTAATATAATAGGCTAAAATAGTGTGCTTTACATAACATACTGCAGAGTAATCAAGTGCTGCCGGTTGCCTGTATAGAACAAAGAACACATGACGTATATTAGATGTTGTGTACCGGTCTTCAGTTACATTCAGATAGATATCTAGGTTGCTAATTATTGCAGATCATTATGATAATACTGGGAATTTGTCAGATCACACTTTTCTCAGGGTGTGTGAGAGTCACACACACACGTACTGTGTGCGCGCGCCAATTAACCTATCAAGAGTCGCTAATTGCTTATTTGTAATTAGCACTGTGAGTGAACTATGAAATTGCAGTGAATATGAAATATGTCATGCGTGTAAGTGCTGACGAAGTTTGGTTTCTGTGTTATCTGGGAGTAATAGCGGGCCACTAATATACAGGGCCGTGTCGCTGTTGTAGACAGAGTATGCATTTGTAATTGAGCCGGAAATTGAATGTGAGTTACACACTTTGTCACACCAACACTGTAGGCTACACACCTCTATGTATTGTGTTTTTCTACACACCAGGAATCAAATTGGTTGGGTTCCACAAGTTGTATAGATTGTGTACGAATTATTCCCCCACCATAGAGATGTTAACTTGAGTGATAGAAAGTGTGAGTCAAAATGTTAAAAACCTGTGAGGTGGTGTGAGGCATGAAACTTCTGAGAACGTTTTTTAGTTTTCTTAGAAGTACATTTGGCGCAGTTCTTAAGCAGCTCATGTCCTTTACTTCGTGATCTAGAGAGCTTCACACAAGCAAGATGGGGACCTTTCTCGTTCAGAACAGCGGTCATGCGCTGTATTTTATCCAGTAACTTGCGGCAATTGTCAATGTTGAGACGTGAAGTGATTTGGTGGCGATGAAGCATGCTTTTGAAGGTGAGCTGGTTCAGCAGCTCCATGAGGTGACGTGATTGCAGCTGCACGTGCAAACTGCGCAGCGCATCTTCTGAGGGGACCTGATAAAGTGAACGGTCATGAAAGTGAATAGTCATGAAAGTGGGTGAAAAAAAAGTAAAAGCTCCCGATCTTATCTCCGATCGAACCACCAACATGAACAGGGTTTTCTCCAACTTCAACAACATTTGCTCCAACCCCTAAATGTGCACGTACACATTATATTTACACTGATATCCGCACTGTACTATCAACAAGTCCGTGTGTACCGCTGCTTTCAACCCACTATGACAGGTGTGATCCTATACTATATAGAGGGGACAATGTGCAGTGGGTTTATGTGTGTGTGTGCTATTATTCGCAACGGTTTGTATCGTGTAACTTGAGTCGCTAATAGCCGATAATAAGTAGCAGCCTTCTGCTGATTGCTCTAGAATAGAAGATCGGCAGCTGCGGTGTTGCACAACTTATTTCGGGCTCTCTATGTAATGATGCCCACTATATTAGAGTTTACATTATTTACATGTGGTTACGGGAACATTGGAATCAAATTTCAGCAGGAAGAAAAATAATACATTTCTGAAGTTCGGTCCTACAATCAAATTAATTCTAGTTACTTAAAAGGATTCATCCCTTACTTATGATAGGATAGGCCGAAAGGAATGCTGTTCAAATCAATGGAATCTCAAGAAAAAGGGCTAATAAGTTTAGTAAAGGAATTACGAACCTGTAGCAGGTTGAGCGTGTTGCTGGCCTGTTGACCGCGTTTGGTGAGCTGAGCAAGCAGTTGGTTGGTAGGGTCCTGTGTGAACTTTAAATTGAAAATTAGACCCCGATCTCCAAACAGTCAACCACGTCACGTATTCAATTCAGATGATAATATTATCGTATACAATTTATAGTTCTAGTTTGAAGTAAAAAAGAACAATATGTCACGAACCTTTGTTAATACCCACGATGTAAAAGTTAAAAGTTAAGGAACACGAGTTACGAGTATCATACCTGTAGCAGGGTGTTAAGAGCGGAGTTGGTGGATCCGGGCTGCTGTCTGCTCTTCTGGAGGTGTTGGAGGAGTTGGTTAGCTATCTGCTGTCGTTGTAGCTGCTCCAAAGTCTGCTGCTGCAGCTGCAGTTGCAGTGTTCGCTGCTGCTGCTAAAATTGGGGAGCTTGTTTAGTTTCTCTGAATGTATTGTTGCTATAGTAATAAGTCTTGCTATGGATGTTTAAATTTTGAAGAAATTAGTATAGAGAATAAACTTCGATAACAATTTATACTTGTTTTCAAACCCAGCTTTAAAAATGTTCATTCTGCATATAATATGCAAAAGAAGGTAGACATAAAAGCAGGATTCGCAATAAATTTTACCTCCATAATTTGCTGTTGTTGCTGCCGCTGTTGTTCAGCAAGTTTCTGTTGCATCAGTTGCTCCTCTCTCTGTTGGTTCTGGAGCTGACGTTCGAACTCCTTCTCCTTTTGGACCACTTTGATAAAACCTTGTTTCAATCGTTCCGTGTGCTCTTCCCGCACCTGGGTATTTCTCGTCATTTTTATTCTTCATTTGGAATGATGGACAGAAAACTGCTTACAGTACAGAATTAACAGAAGAAAATGAGACTTCAAACGAAGAAAAGTGAAGTAAAAAACCCGATTCGGCAGAAATGGGTATTTAAGGAAACAATGATTATTATAATAACCGTTTTCCGGAGTTTTGAAGTGAAACAGTAATAGCACTCGAACTTGTCCTCGAAGTCTGTTTTCTCCCACTCGGGAGAGAAGTCCAGACCGCACACCACACAAGTTATGTCCAGAGAGGGGGAGGCGGTGTCCGGTTTGGTGGGGTTCTTCAAACGATCCACAATAAACTCTAGACCTGTTGAGAGATGGGTGAGATTTAGATCTAATTATATACTAATATGAAAAATATACATTCAGTAAAATATTGTAGATCTTGATAAAACGGTTCATCAATGAAATGAAAAGGATGGTGTGGACTGGGGACCAATATAATTAATCGAGGGAGCACTTGCCTGTGTAGTGAAGATATTCTTGGTCGTTGATATTCGGACAGATTGGCCACTGAAGGACCTTGGGTTTAGGGCTGGGCTGTTGGAGAATCATCTCCTCGAGTATCTTGGCCATGGCAGCCCGGTTGGGCTGTATGGAGCTGACGCCCTGGGCTCGATGCATATTGCTGCTCTGGATGGCAGGCGCGCTGATGCTACTCAGCGATTGAAGCGAGTTCACTAGACTACTCGTATCGGGTTTAGGTTTTATAGTCTGACTGTTGGACACGATCACAGAAAAGGGTTTAGTTGCTTTGGCTTGGTTGGTGTTAGGGGAGTTGGTACATCTGGCGGCTACGACTTGCTCGGATGATTTGAGAAGGGGCGGGGGCGGCGGCAATGTCGTGGTGGCGGCGGCAGCGGCAGATGGGATGGTGGTCACGGTATCCTTACTTTCTTCCTTCGTCTAAGAGGGAGATACATGTTAAAACTATGTGCGGTGTGAAACATTCTGAACTTTAAAACATTAACGAGCAATACTTGTGTGTGTGCATATGTGAGTGTGTTTGTGTGTGTATCGCACGCTAATTTTACTCCAGATATCAATGATAAACACGAATACAAACACTGGTAATAACACTTATTAACTTTCAAACTTTAAAATCAATTGCTCTAATAAAAACTTTAAAAGAACAGAATCCAACGAAACAGATAACACCGAGATGTAAGCAACATATCAAATACATTCATCGCTTGTATTATATACAACCAATAACGGTATGTCAAACTAAAGAGCGGACAAAACCGAGAGGTGATTTGAGCAGTCCTCTCTTATTGTTGATGATAGCTCCCAAGTAAGAAAATTAGTAAGTGTGGGTGTAGCAAGAGACCGGACTAGAGAGAGAGCTCCTTATTGATAATGACGTGTCGATGCCGTTCCTAAAAACGTTTAACACTACGAGTATACACTACGGAGATCACAGGTCTGTCAGTTGTAGGATTACTTGATCTGGGTAAACAAAAGCAGGGTAAACGGATAGACGGGCAAACGAAATAAGATAAAATCGGATCCGGAACACTGCACTCAAAACTAGGTTTCGCCAATTTACGGGCTGTCTCTCTCGCATTCGGATCGCATATAGAGAGAAGGATATAAAATGTGCAACTTGTCGAACAAAAATTTGTGGTCTTGGGAAGCCAAACAAGCACCTCACTACGCTATAATATACATTTTCTTAATTTATTTATTACAATAAGACACATGAGAGGTATGCGCGTGAGTATATAGCAAGTACCGAGCAGCTACCCCCAGCTCCATCCTCAGCAACTGCCAGCCACCGATTAGGGCGAACAATTAGATTTCAGGGTTAACCAATTCCAACCGTCCAAAATCTCGTAGAGGCTCGTGGGATGTAATGGGAGGGAGGCCAGGCTAAAACACGCCAATATTCACCAGATAGGTGCGAAGAGAAGTCTCACACATTGGCCTAACCCTTACCCAAGATAATAATCAATTGTGTAAATAACTATAGGTGAGATGCGATCAGCAGATTTAGTAACTTTTATCAGACTTCAGATTTTTCGACCTGGAATGGAATTTGGGAATGCAAGGCATTTTGGAGAAGGAGGCTGTAATAAGCTTGCTTTCGATCATCAGGATAGGAGTTTTATTGCAGTAGAATTGTAGCTGTAATTATCATGCATTGACATTGAACTTTAATACAGGCGCCAGGGCCACACGGGACTCGGGAGAGATATTACACAACATAAGAAAAGATAAGGTCGAGCTATAAACTGATAATGATGATATTTAAAAAATAGAGCTAAACAATATATCACGAACAGGCACTGGCCAAACATTTGACATTAACCACAAACTGTCATCGTATAGCTGACATTTATAGGTCACATGTTGAGGTTTCAGGGAGTGTAGCGAGAAAAGGAATTGGAGAGGCAACGAGCCGGATATTGCCAAAAGGAGCAACTTTGGGAGTTTAATAGAAAACCGACAGAGTTTAATGAACGTAACAGGGGAATGCAACTTGCTTTGTATCTTACGATTTATATTATGAATTACGGTAAAAGAATTTGGCGAAGCAAATATCTTGTGGCTAGACATGTGATTAAAACCTGTGAATTATTAGTCGACCCGACAATTGTGACGTTATACTTGCAAGCCGCTGTTTAAAAAAATTATTTATCAATCATCATACTGGAGGGAGAACATAAGTATATTTACATGACCTAGGGTGGTAGTTGACATTAGATTTCAGATGAGATACTTCAGTTTCAAGGTTATTAATCACTATCAGGGTGGGGGAAGGTAGGTTTCTTTGCTTTTAAACCCAGCAATTCATAACAAACGGGAGGAAAACGGTTGTATCTAAGTACAAGTCGGTAAAGGATGAAGGTTTCTCTATCGCAGCAAATAGCAGTGACATTGAAGTTGTCACCAATCACATATTATCACTGAGATACGGACGCGTTGAAAACGATGCCTACAATAACCGCCATAAATATAAAGGGAGCTGCTAACTGCTAAGGTCAGTCCACGAATGCGATACAAATAAATTGACAACTAAACCCACTAAATCACGATGATAATTGAACGTTGCTGTCGAAGAAAATGACCTTGGGAATGCATATTGCATGTCAGCACTCTTTTCGTCTGATCCACACGATCAAGAAACGATCACCAGGTAGCGACCCATCACTGATGTCAGTTGGAGATCCATTGAAAACGAGTCAACGGTTTTATTGCAAGTACAGCTGCATAGTGCATATATAATAAACACAATAATGAGATGCGGCCGACCCCTAAAGATATATAACATTATCGAGGAGTGTGTCGTCTAATACTTTCCTTATATGGCATAATTAGCTTGTGTATTGGGGAGGTAAATCAGAGAAAATTATACGAGTGAGTGCGGCAGATGCTCTCCTATAATATAGTACAGGAAAATCAGGTATAAATTGGTATATATAGTATTGTAATAGTTCACGGTTATTTCGCAATGCCAGAGACTATGACTACATGAAGAGGGAGTAGAAGTACCAGTACACAATGATCAGGCACTAGTCTCTATTATTATTACATGTAGTAAAGCACAACGTCACTGTGTGACGGGTGTTATAATAATACAGCGTGTAATCTAATTTTTGGGGCGATCTGATTAACAGGACGGCTAACAGGTGCTTGGTGATGTAGTTTGTATCAGAACTGGGACCAGTGGTGCAAGGCCCGGAGGTTATTTATAAGGCCGCTAGTACTGTGAAAAGTGCCTACTTAATCAGCACATTTGGGACTTTTGTCTGTTAAAAAAGATAGTTTCTAAACTGATTTTGTCTTCCGTACTATATCCGAATTCAAAATACTGAAATTTTGAAGGGGAGGGCCTAAACATCTTTATTTGGAATAGAGTAACAGGCAAGAATGAGCCCTTCACTGAGATGACCAGAGGAGGAAGCTATGAACGGCCATCACACAAGAGCACTTTTGAACTAACATTTTTATGTAGAAAATGCAGAAAAAGTCATTAGCAATTAGGTGTAACAAAACATTTCAAACATCGCCAATACAAGGGAGAAGAAAATAAAGTGACACTTTGGAAAAATTGCTGCATTACGCGTGAGTCAACTCAACAGTTAAGGCTAGCGACTTAACAAAGAATCTCTTTGGGTGGAGTTAGAGATGTATGGATGGTTAAGGCGACTTGAAAATGTTCAACCGGGGGAAGTTCCTTAACGAACAAACATTAGCTGAAAATGTGCGGCATACACAACGGAAATAGTCCGCCAACAATTCAGCGGAAAGATCATCCGGCGGATAAAAATAGCCGCCACGCTTTACGGCGGAACTTGGCGAATTTCGGCAGATTAAATGGAGTTCACCGCGGTTTCACCAGTTGAATCGGGACCTACCAAACCTTTCCATCCCGAATATGCACAGTGTTGGGCAAGTCACTTCTTTACAGGCATCAGCCTCAATCACTACTCACTCCTCACTACTCACTGCTCACTCAAGGTTTACATACCTTGTGTCTCACCACAAGATAAAAACAGAAGAATTGTGCACACAATTTTTGGTTTCCTACCAGATTATTAGGAACAAGCTATTGAATTATACCAGACATATCACCTAGTGACCCCACCCAAAGAAGATCAGGTCAGCTAAAGATAACAAAATATTGGACCGAGCCTAGGACTAGGAGAGATAGCTTGTTCAACTCAGTCTTCAAATAGCCAATAAAATAGCCCAAATAAAGCTGCTGTCTCTGGACTCACAGTTTACCTTGGCAGACCTTAATGGGTATGGTCGCTGGAAGACTGATTTTCATAGGTAAACTGTAAAGATGACGCCATGCATTTAGCGATAGCCCTTAAAGAGAAACTTAGAACCATGAGCCGAAATGTAGGGATGTCCATATCCTAAGGGGACACTCCGTTACATTATCTATTCCGCCAGGGACTGAACAAGGGGACACTCGGTTACATTATCTATCCCGCCAGGGACTGAACAAGGGGACACTCGGTTACATTATCTATCCCGCCAGGGACTGAACAAGGGGACACTCGGTTACATTATCTATCCCGCCAGGGACTGAACAAGGGGACACTCGGTTACATTATCTATCCCGCCAGGGACTGAACAAGGGGACACTCGGTTACATTATCTATCCCGCCAGGGACTGAACAAGGGGACACTCGGTTACATTATCTATCCCGCCAGGGACTGAACAAGGGGACACTCGGTTACATTATCTATCCGCCAGGGACTGAACAAGGGGACACTCGGTTACATTATCTATCCGCCAGGGACTGAACAAGGGGACACTCGGTTACATTATCTATCCGCCAGGGACTGAACAAGGGGACACTCGGTTACATTATCTATCCCGCCAGGGACTGAACAAGGGGACACTCCGTTACATTATCTATCCCGCCAGGGACTGAACAAGGGGACACTCGGTTACATTATCTATCCCGCCAGGGACTGAACAAGGGGACACTCGGTTACATTATCTATCCCGCCAGGGACTGAACAAGGGGACACTCGGTTACATTATCTATCCCGCCAGGGACTGAACAAGGGGACACTCGGTTACATTATCTATCCCGCCAGGGACTGAACAAGGGGACACTCGGTTACATTATCTATCCCGCCAGGGACTGAACAAGGGGACACTCGGTTACATTATCTATCCGCCAGGGACTGAACATTATCGAGTTCATCTGCCTTGGAATGAATTTTAACAGCTAAAAAAGGATTTCGTCGCGTATACGGTAATGCGTCAGTCACATAATTCAGCAGTCTTATCGAGAGTCGGTTTGGTAAAACAAATTTGCGAGTCCCTATAAAACGGTACACACGTTTTATACGTAAATATTCGGTGAGAATCAGTGCGTGAAGACACTCCAGCAAATACATAAGAAACATCACCAAGACGCCGACTAACAATATCACAA